TGGATGTGCAGCTTGCCGGTGTTCATGACTCCACTCCGGCTCACCCATGACAATACCCAGTGTCATTTCATCCAGTTTGGAGGGCCATTGGCCCGTGAGCCGTTAGGCCCGAGATGTCTCCTGCGGCCTCTGCCGCCGCGAGCCTCGCGGTGGGCGGCTCAGCCTGTCCGCGAACTCGTCCAGTCCGAGAATGGGACTGCAGTGATCTGCAGCTTATGTTTTGCCTGTCCCTTTAACCTCCGACTTCCAACATGGGGAGTTTCTCAAACCTCGGTACTTTTAAATACAGCCGGGGATTGGACCCGCCGAAAAAGGGCTTCTCTATTCGTGAGACGGAATCATTTGACGGATGTTTCCGGGCTAAGGCTTTGAGGTGCTACAGGGCCCAAAACACTTCCGTCCTAGAAAGCCGTGACCATGTCTTGCAAGGGGATTTGCCATGATTTTCCCACTCCCAGTAAAATGCCTGAGTAGGCACTCTTGTACAGGCATGGGGGATTCGCTGTGCATCGTGAATTGGCTTACAAGGGGCCTGTGTCAGGAGCATGATGCAAACAGGCGTCCTACGCTTAACCTGCCTTTGAAAGACATACTCTGCTGGTGGCAGCCATGAAAAGTCTACACTCTGGGATACTGTCAACATATGTGTGTTGTTCTTGAAATCGGGCATTGGTCAAAGACTGAAGCCCTAACGCGTTCGTACTTGGCACTTAAGTCAATGCCACTTGTTTGGTTGAACTCTAGTATGCTTGCACAAGCTACTGTATGGACTGCCTGCAGCAAGATTCCTACTCACCATCACCAGTGCAGCCTGTGCAGGGGTCTTTGTCAAGGATACCCCACGCCCGCCACAAGGCACATTTCGGCTCATCCGGCAATGCTCACAATGGCTTCCCTGAGATTCATACGTGCCGCCAAGAGCACCCAGGATACAAGGCTTCCAAGCTTGAAGATCCATTCGTACCCCTCGTCGGAGTTTCGACCAGGTCGCAAAGCTGGGCTTTGGGCGAAGAGCCGGGATGCCCAAGGGGATAGAGTTGGGTGGCTCAAGAAGATCAAACTTCGTAACTTGTTGATAGAAGCCCTGCATGTGTTTCCATGTCTGCGCATCCTTATGTGCCAGATTTTGCCAGGCAGCTCTTGTAGCTGTAAACGCTGGTAGCCTTTTTACGGGCTGGATTCTTCGAAGCGTTGGGTTTCGGAAACTCGACAGAGACATGAGCCACGGCCACCGTTGGCTGATCATTCTAAAGATGGACAAACTGAAGGCTCCAGGGTCAGACCTCACCCTCAGACCCCCAGCAACTCCGGATATCCGGAAAGCTTGTCTCACTGTGGGTGTAGCGCGTTACTCCGACAAGGAAGCAAAGAAAAGCGTTTGGGCTATCGCTTACCACCTGCAGCCCATGGGGAGGTCTTCCGTATGGATGTTGACCCCTAGTCGCTCAGGGGTCCGGCAGGCCAACAAGTCATCCAGCTCTTCGGGAGTGACAGGGCCTCAGCTGCAGCGTTTGAACATTTGAACACGGCCTTAAGGAGCGCTTGGCTCTTGAATTTCTAAGGGTTGATCCCGCTTGCACTGTATGGCGCTCATGGTACTTTCGAGAAATCACCACAATTCTCTGCGTGTTTGACCGTTTCTCTGAATCCTGAGAAAGAAGGGAGAAGAAGACGCTTCTGCGTTTGCAATGACTGTACCTCACCTTGCTGGAATTCTGATTTATGTGAGTGTGTTTGTCGCTAAAAAGGCCAGGCTCCCAACTACCGCCTTCGAGTTGCGGACGTTGCATACTTAAAGTAAGAAGCAAAACCTGTCTTGCCCATTGGCAACTAAGTCATGTGCAAGAGATTTCCCCGAGCATCTGTCAGCTGTTGATTGCACAGTCAGATTGCAAGTTGAGTGTGTCCAAAGTTCTACTCCAAAGTTCTACTGCACGCATGCCATTGTGAAAGCGGCATTGAGCAAGAATAGCACGCTGCCACACCAGTCGCCAGGTTTTGTGACAGGTGCCGCGTAGCATAGTCAAGGTTGCAGAACTTGTTGGGTTTGAGTGCCACTTTCTGTGGCCCACTTTGGTATAACCAAAAAAAAGCTACGTCCCAACTGAGTCTCGCTGACATTAGTGAGCCCTTCTTGGATAGCAACCAGCCGCAAGCTATCAGAAAGGGAGCCATTTCCAGAACAAAGGAAAAACACTGCCAACCACGTGGCTTGAGTGCGAGTCCGAGGATGGCGCGGAAAGAGGAGCTCTACCAGGACTTGGCAAAGAAGGTGGCCGCGGACGCTTCGAAGATGCGACCGAAGGACCAACCTTCGGGCCGAGTCCAGTGCCTGCAAGCTTTGAGAAGACGGTAGCGTGGCCAGTATGGAATCCGCCCATTTGGGCTGTAGATGGGCATGATGTTTGAGCTAGGGCTCCTTTGGTGGACATGATTTAGGCTGGGATTTATGTCCACCACCCACTTTGGAGGGAGTTGTCGATTGAAATTCATGGCCACATTGTGGCACTGGCCAGTTTGGGGTTTGTCTGAAATCACGATGGCTATAAAGGCTTTGCCCACCAGGAGATTGCCCGCGCAGTAGCAGGCCGCTCGGCAAGGGCAAGCTCATTGTGGTTAGACACGCTTTCACACAAGGTTGGTAGAATCTGGGAGTAAATCGGTTTCCCCATCAACAATTTCCAATCTGGGTCATTCCTTTCAATTTGGGTTTCTTTGGCTGACATTGAGAAAAGAAGCCAAGCCCGTCACACAGTTTCAGGACACCCCCATTTCAATGCGGTGCGGTTTGGGAGGTGCCCTTCCGTACAAGCAGAGGCATTCAGCCAGGGACGTGCTGGTTGTGTATTGTACCTCCAGAAGCTGACATTTCTGCCATGGGCTCGCATTCTCTCTGCAAGTGAGCTTGTGTTGGTTCTTCGGAGGTTCCCTTTGGGGTTCAACGGCTGGGTCAATTCTTTACCGCCAGGTCTCGCGATCTCTCAAGTGCCTGCCGAAGACTATGCCTACACGGCGCTATTGGAGGCAGACTCTTCTACAAGAAGCGCACGCATACGCATTGCATGGCCTGAGTGTTGGTAAGATGTTTCCCCCTGGGACAGCTCACAGATCATGGACAAAGAATCAAAACAACAAGCCCGACCATGGGAAGGACTCACTAGTCCAGCCGTTGCAACACTTCCTGCGCTCAGTCCACTCTTCACACATTATCATGTGTACGAGTTGATTGGCATCAGCGGCCCAATGGGCAGGCATCAACGGCCCAGATGGACGAGTTCCAGGCTGGCAAAGGGTGACCGCGAATTTGCAAGTCACAGTACATCCAGACAGCTTGTTATCTTGGGGCAGTGGATTTAGGTTTCAGCAGAAGAGAGGGACTCTCATTTGTTGGTCCTAATCCTGAAGAAAATGTGACCTGACTCTGAGGAGTGTAGTGCCAGGCAAGCTACAAGCAAAGACGACCAGGCGAAGGGTCTACATGTGTATCACCTGTACTTGAAAGAATCGGGCCTCAGCCACCAGTTGAGGGTACAACACTAGCATGGTTGTGGGGATGTGTCCAAAAGCGGGTCTCTCCGAATGGAGGGAGTTTCTTTCTAGCTCAACTTCCACCCACATGGCATGACTTTAGCCATTTCACATGTTCCCATGGTCCGGGTGCTGCCAGTGTGGCACATAGGCAGCTGCAGCCGTGCAGCTTGTGCCGGCCTCTCAGCCGTCAAAACCGAGACTTCTTAGGCATGATGTTGTCATGCTAGCCGGGCTTCAAACGGGCTCCAAAAACAGAGGTTTAAAATTTGTTGATAATTTTGACACTTGGCATTGAGCTTCCAAAAGAGTTGAGCATTTGCAGCATGTGACCATGTGTTTAAGCCTGTGCCTTGCAACTAAAGAGCCAACTCGCAAGGGGAGCCACCGAGGGTCATGGCTCTGAATGGTCCTTGATGGTGCATAGTACAAGTCACTCAAAGACATGCTTTCTGGCTGCTGTGGCTTCCGCTACGGGCTTGAAATCACACTTGACACGTGCGATGATCTTGCAAGGCTGCGCAAAACAAGCAAGCTGCCCTCGTTTGCGGCTGTCCTGAGGAACGGTCTCTCTAAGCTGCGGTTGGGAGGAGGCACGGTGCATTGTCAGTTTGGCGGACCGCATTCGAAGGTCTCCAAACTCTAAGCATTAACATTGTCTTGCAGAGCGCTTCCGTCAGTGTCCATGCTTACTTTTAGGAGTGGTGTGAGGCGCAGATGGCTTCCTGGCCCGCTTTGCCCCTGCGTTGCAGAGTTGGCTGGGTCCGGGGCTCTGAGCGAAGCTTTCAGCTCAAAGCTTATGTGAGGCGAGGGCACGCATTTGGGCGAAAGCAGACGGGCAATGAAGTCTTCTGCTATGAATCTTGGCAAAATCACCCCTCTGATCACTTGCGACCTGCCAGGAGCAAGTGAAACATTCCCATGGCACGTGAATGTCGAGCATCTCCTGGTGAACCCAATCGGATACCTTTGAAAAAGCAGACTCAGAAAACAGAACACATAGTTGCACGAAGTCCAGACTTTACCCCGCAAGGTTTGATTAAGTCAGATTCATGGCTCCCGAGGTGAGATGTACGTGCGGGACTGGAAGGGTGGGGTTCGGGCGCGAGCTGTGGGTAGGTCGGTGCCTTGTGTGAACGGTGAGTCTGTTTCAGGTGGTGGTTGTTTGTTTGCTTCACCGTGAAAAATGATGGATTTGTGTACATCACACCAAACACGGCGCGAGTGAGCCCGCTCCCGTGGCTGCAATCTCTTCTTTGGGACGTGCCTGTCACGGACTTCCCCCACATTAAGATTTGTCCCTTGGTTCCTGCACTATAGCCACAGGAGTTGGCCAACTACAGCATTCCCAGGTTTCTAAAATGATGTGTTTTCCCAGAACTCGACCTTTGACTTGCAGGGTGTACGGCCTTGTGACAAGTGGGTGTGGCTCAAAACTAAAAAGCGCCCGTCGTGTGCTCCTTTTTGGAGCCATGCAGTTGCAGTGGGGTCGTTATCTCCAGGAGTTGGCCCTGGTGGCGAATGCCTATGCCCGGTGCAATGTGCCGCCCACGGCTCGGGTCCCGGGCGCTCAGTGGCAAGGTTTGCATCGAGATCCGGCGCAAGTGGGATTTTTTGGCTTGCACGGTGTTCCATGGAGCAAAACGAAAGCACAACACTGGACCTTGGGCTTCCCAATTTCCGGAATCGGAGGGGTGCCTGAGTTGATCACAAGGGTCAAGCATTTGGCATTGCTCAACTGAACTTGAAGCCCATGGACATGTACATCAATTTTGTCCACAACTCCCCATTGAAAGAATCCACACCCCGGGCACATGGGCCAGGTTCTGCTTCCAAGGCCCTGAAATCCGCTGACCTAATATACCACCTGTATAGAGAGCATGAAAAGCACATGTACTGCTTCCTGTTGGATGGACATCCATAGCTGGGGCCATTCAACTTCCTCAATAAATGCCAATCCTGTTCAGCAGGTCCTTCCTCCGTTGTCTGGAGATGGTCTGCGAAAGTGGGGTCCCTGCCTCATTTCAGGGGCGCCCTAAACCCCAAAGCAAGCCAGCCATTGGGGTTTGTTTCAAGGGGAGCCCATAAAATCCAGAGTTTCCCTTGCTCTCCTCTTGAAGAGCAGCTCAAAAGCAACACGGGCAGCCTGGCACATATCAACCACCCGCGTCCGTTTTTTCGGGGCCCCCTCCCCTTCCCCCCCGGTTGACCCGACTGCGAGTGCGAGTCGTCGAGCGAGGCGTGCGAGCAGCTCTTCGAGGAGCTCGCCCAACTGGCGCTGCAGAACTTGCAGGATCTCCAGTCCCAGGATGGGACGGGATCATTTGCAGGGGGGGGGGAGGGGGGGGTGGGGGGAAAATGTGAAGGAGATGTGTCTTAGATGTTTTGGTTTAAGAGCTTCTTTTTGTACTTGGTGCCTGCAAAGTAGTTAATTTTTACATTTTGCCAAATTGTTTGAAATCGCTGGGAAGCCAACTCTGACCCTTTGAAAACAGTGTGTCGTGGGAAATGGGTCTGGTTTTTCCAATGATAACTTTAGCTGGGGGTTCTTTCTTCTGAAGAGGCGAGGCTTGTTCAGCGAAATCGGGCTAGGTGGGTGCTGCAGGTGCTGGGTGCTGTTTGTGCGCTCAAGCTGCTGTGGTGCTTTAGGTGCTGTTTCAGGGGGCGCTGGCGCCAATTTCTGCCTTTGTTGTTTTCCACTTCGAGCCATTTCCGCGACGGGACAGTCCCTGTCAATTCCTGGCAATGCGTCATGGTTCTCGCTGATGTTTGAAGCTCAAAGTAGGGAAAGCCTGGCTTTGGCTTGGCACATCAGTGATCGACCATGGCTTGTGGCTGGGTTACTTGCAGTGTGTCGGAACATTTGCAGAACGATTCAGCAAGGCTGATGCCGACAACTTGTCCTGCGAAACTTGAGCGCATGGTGGTTTGAAAAGCGTATGCGAGTGGCAATGACATGGAAGTGGAGAAAAAATATAGGGGTAACCCCCAACCACCAGTGTTTGCCGTAAACAACAACTGAGCCACAATCAAAACCCGGGTAAATGAAGGTTAGCAAGGGACAATCCCAACCGTGAATAGCTGCGGCCGCCTTCCGACTTCTTCACATGGTTCTGGGTAGACCATTTTACTACAGAGGTTTGACTATGACTCAACTGAATCTACGATCCTCAGCTGCAAGGAAAGAATCTCAGCGCTCAGGATGCCGCCCTCATCTGCAACGCCTTCGCCAAGCTCGATGCTCCTGGCGGGCGCCTGGACCGCATTACTGGCGTGAGGTCGCACGGTGGATTCCGTTGCGAAATGGCTGTGGGTCAAAACCAATGGTATCCCATTTTGGGGTAGGTGCACCACCCATTTTAAAACCTATTTTAGTGGTTGGATTGGGATGTTCACTCGGGTACGGGCTTTTGACCCATGGCCAAATCCATTCGCAGCACTTGGAAAGCTGCGCCCCATGAAGGGTTTGGTCGGCGCTCTTTTTCGTGAGGATCTATTGCCTGCCATTTGCCTGCCAACATTCTGAGTCTGGGATTTCTTTGGGTTCGGCTCACTGACAGACGGGGACTTGAGGGGGTGTTGTCATACTTCAGGCTCAACGCCTGCCAGTTTCTCAGGCTCCTCATTAGTCGCCATCATAGAGCCATGCAGTTCACCCTTGACAAATATAGATGGACAAATGGATGCCCCTTGTTTCTGCCCAAAAGATCCCTTAGGCTTTCTCTTGTGGTAGCCACCTTTGCCCGAACCCCCGTTCCACCTACGGGCGTACTGAGGCGAGCAGGGCAAGCGCTCCTCTCGAAGATGTCCATCCGAATGCAGGAGATCCTGCCACACCCTCAGACACCTGCCGCGCAGTCGATTGAACGGCAGAAGAGGAGAGGTGTCACCATTGCTTCTTTGTTCCCACTGTGTGTGTCTCTCTCAAAATGGGGAGCCAAAGGTGGGGGTGGTGCTATATCATGCTATATCCTTTGAACATCAGAGTGGTTGTGAGGCAGAGCCATTGTATCCTGATGGGATTTTGAGAGAGCGCCATGAGCCCATCACGTGGAGGCGCCACTGGATCCAATACAATCACACAGATGTCCATTCCGGAAAACATGGTGGTTGTCGCTAGTACAAAAGACTGGGTGGTCAAATTGTGTAGTTGCTTGCGGCAACTACCACGTATGGCCCCGGCTTCTTTTCAACGACTCCTGCGCCTTTTCTTTTTTTTCACCCCTGTTCCCTTGCAAGCTACGACTACTGCGAGCTTCATAATTCGGTTCTGTGGGTTGAGCCAGGGGCAGGAGCCATTTTGTGATACGTCTGTACTAGCTGCGGGTATCGAGTGGCTTCCGATAGGCCGACCATGACATTGCCCAACATGGCGGCCGCGGGCTGGGCCTTTGCCCGGACCTCAGCTGGGGCCGAGAAACAGACTGGGCGGGGGTGCGAGCGGTTGCTGGGGGTCCGCATATTCACACCAGGAGGCTTATTGGACTTCCCTGGCCAATTTGCAGGTTCAAGCTTTGAGGGTTCTTCTTTTCACTTTGGGCAGTGAACAAAATCGACATAGGCATTGAACATTGTACGTTGTCCGCACTGTACTATTGTTGCACAGGACTGGGAAAGGGTTGGACAAATGAGGAAATGAAGGCCCGTGATCATCCTCCGCATGAAGTAGTTCGTCTGAATGCATGTTGGATTACAGAGGTTGCATCAGCCGGATGTGGGCAACCGCATCGCTGCCAGAGATAATCACTGCAAGAGCCTCCTTGAGATCAACAGGTCGTAGCCACAGGCGGTTTGTAGCTCGGAATTTCCGTTTGTTTGTGACGGGATGTGACGGGGATAGCCCTCGAAAGGCTTCTGATAGCTTGGCTCTCCCCTTTTGAAGAGGGGATATGGCTATGGGTCAAAGGTGAAGACCGAAGGTAGCATTTTGGGGTAGGTGCACCACCCCTTTTTTTGGTCTATTTTAGTGGGGATTGAAATGTTCACTGGGGGTACGGGATTTTGACCCATGGCCATATGATCAGCTTGAACTGCCATGGCTTGAGATGACAGCTGCTACAAGCTGAAGAGCGGGGAGGTTGATCCCGCGGAGAGGAAGACTGCTGGTTGCAGACCCTGCAGTTCGCCCAAGCTTTGCAATTGCCTTGAAAAACAGCGTATCCATGATGATCCCTGGACCCTTGCAGCTCGTTAGTTTCCGCCCTGTATTGTGGTAGCAACACATCAGAGCGAGATGCATGCTGATCCAGTTTGTTTGATGGTACACAGTGCATGAATATACACCGTCTCCGTGTGGCGCATTCTGTCCGATTGGACCAGAAGTCAAATAGCTGGGTGGTTTTTGCCTGAACTCCGTCAGGCGCGACTTCGGCATCCACAGGCCGGTGTATTGCAGCGAAGCGATGGCACAAGCCGCTTGCCTTGTCGGTCGGTTGCAGATGTTTGCAACTTGTGTTGAGTGTCTTTTAGCTGAGCATCCACAACTACTGTTCACTGCTCAACCAGGCTGAGAGCAGCGTGTCAAGTGCGCACGCTGCAATTAGTGCCTTCTCGGAGCTGTTCATCAAGCAGGGGTTTACATCTCCATTCAGCGTCTTGCATAGGACAACATGTTTCAAGATGGTTCCCTAAAGTGGAACCAACCAAGGGGCGGTCGTTTCAGCAATAGGCGCTTCAGCATGTTCAAGCATTCAAAGAAGATAGCCCTGGTCTAGAGTCCGCCAGGCGCGTGCTCTCTTGGGCGCAATTGCGGAGCAGCTCCAAGACGTGGGTATCGAAGGCGCCGTCCATCCGAAAGCTGAGCCGATATCGGAGACTCAAAAGCAACATGTCCTGCAATGGAGATTTGGCAAGTAGGGAACTTTGTGGGGCGGCCAACTATGAAGTCAACACGGTGGACATCGGTGTACATAGATCCCCACGCAAAGTATCATCACCGAAGGGTCCATAAGTAAACTTCATACCCATTTCTTGCGCTGCCAAAGTGAGGCCCGGCCTGGGTTTTGGGTCATGTTTCGTATCCGCAGAGAGCGCAGGCTTGCAGCGCTGCTCGGCCCAAGAGCTGGTGAACCTGCTCAGCGCAGGGCGCTCACGGTGAGAAGGCAGAGCTGGCAAACTCATTGGGGTGTTTGTTGGAAGCTTGGGGCGGACATGGGGTCCCAGAAAATGCAACCCGCAACGCATTTTTCCACAAGGAACAGGGGGCAACCCAGTTTGCCAATACCTTTTGGTGACAAAAATAGTTGTGCATAGTTTTGGATCCCCTTTGTCGCGTAAGGGCTGGCAGAGACCAACCAGCCCAAAAAGGCCTCTCATCGTGCGAAACTAAGCTAGTTTACTGTCATTTGACTTTCAAACTCTTGTGTTGTGCGTTGAGCACTTGTACTCGGCTTGCTTTGTGAAGGGACCTGTACATTTGACAAGCAGCTGCGCGCTGGGGGTTAAAAGGTCGCGAGCCACAACATGCAGCGGACCCTCCAGTTCAGCTTCCTGTGAAATCCCTTTATAGATCCAATCTCCCAAAGTTGGTCAGACCCACAGCTTATATAACCCTGTAGCCTGGCGAGAAGGAGAAATGCATAGGGCCTAGACGATTTCCTAAACTTGGCGACCCCCCTTCTGTTATCAAAAGGGAACCCAAATCAAACCAGCCAAAGTCGGGGTCCCCGACTTGAGGTAGGTTGTGCTCGCAGTCAACCCAATTTGTACAAGAGAACCCTTCCCTGGCCCCTTCCCCCTTCCCCCCCCCCCCGGTTCCCTGGCCTGTTTGGCAGACCCACACATCAGTTGACCGTCGCTTCCGAGGCCTTTGCCAAGGCGAGGGTCCGGCATCAGCGATTGCCCTGACCTCGGGGCGGACAGCGTTCGCGCCTTGCGCCGCGCGCAATTTACGCGCGCCGCGCGCGTTTTTTGCGCGTTGTGCGCGTGCGGTTCTTCCAGGTTTCTGCAGAGATCGCGAAAAGCTGGGGTGTGAAAAGAAGCGATATGCAAGGAGCTCACCAGATATGCACATCGGCCCACAGGGGCATGTGCTGGTGCCGCAATGCAACTTCGCCTGAGTTGGATGAATGATTATATCCGGTGGCGATGACAGGGAGGAAGACTGTAGTGACCATGCCGACGGACAACACCCTTGCCCATGAACAGGTCCTTTGGGAGGGGCCGTATGTTTCTACTGAGCAAAAAGGTTATACATGTTGTCTCGCGAGAGACGCACGCCTTTAAGGTTGACTGAAAACACCGTCTGGACTCTCAGTTCAGAAAGTTACGAACTGTTCTACTGCAATGCTTGCTTTGCCTGCCCGGCTTTCCACCTATCTTAAAGCTTCTAGCTGCACTTTCCCCATTCTTTCCAAGAATCGTTGTTTCTTTTGGAAGAAATAAGAAGCAGAGAGAATTCTTGGATGAAATGACTTGGGCGTCGTCCCCTTTCAGCCGCTCGAACCAGCCTCTCGCTGAAGGCTAGAGAACGTCGCCGCATACCTCAACGAGAAGCCGAAGGTGAGGAAGAGGGGGCCGGGGCAGGGTCTCCGAGGGCCGTGTCCATGACTAGTCAAATTCAGCCATCAATACTCACCAGGTACTGCAGGGAGTGCAAAACGGGCACTCATCAGATTTGCCGCGAGAACATTGGAGGTACCAAATCCCAATGTCAGTGGGAGAGAGACAGAATATTGATTTTGATACTGGTGTTTCTGTTGTTTAATGAGCAGATTGGACATATTGTGACCCTTATTTAGATGGTGTCATTGGGATCCAAAAGCAAAGCAGCAGGAAACCAAAGGAAACTGTTCAGCATGTGAAACACTTGCATGCCAACGCGTGCCGGCACTCCGGCATGCAAATTCGTGGTGATCGCCCAGTTGTTGCCCATGGGTCACACCACAGGTGATCAAACATCAGCAGGAATCCACCAGAGCAGTCAACACAACGATTGCACTTTTGTGCAGCCGTCATTTGTTCAGCACTGTCTTTTATTAGTCCAGTTGGCCACCTTCAGAAGCTTCAGCAGGCATTCTCTGGTTGGTGCTAAGCCAAACATTGTGGGCCAAAGCCCTAGGTTGGAAATTGGCAAGGGTTCCGTTTAGATTCTTTCTGCAAAGAACCAGGTGTTGCTGTGCGGTTCTACCCTTTTTCTGAAGCCCGAGCGAGTGTGTTTCTTTGCGAAGGAGAGCCACTTTCTATAGTATCACTGCACCCTTTTGTCTTTGCGGGGTGTGGCGGCTTGAGGGTACCCTTGTTGGGAAAGTGGCAACCGCATCTCCCCTTGAATCTAGATGTTGATCATTTTGGCCGCGCATGCTTTGGGGTCAATGCATGCTTTTGTTTCAAGCCGCAGGTACTGAGATACCAGGCACCTTCATAAATATGGTTGCAAGCGAGTCAACCAGTTGGCTGTGCAACAATTGAAAGTCTTTGAGGAGCAGTCCCTCTAGGAAGGGTTGCACAATTCCAGTTCACGGTCGTAGTTATATCGTTATGAGCCAAAACTAGGGACACCTTTCGAGTTCAAAGGAAAGCAACACAAAACCAATCATTTGCAGAAACCTCTAATCATTCATTGCGAGTTCGGTATGAACCAATCATTTGCATACATCCCTAATTTGACACATCGCCAATATCAACATTTCTTGGCAGTCGTGAGCCACTCGTCCAGCGCTCGGCTGCTTTTGGCCCATGCGAGGTCATTGCCGGCATGGTGCCGCTGGTCAGCACCTGAGCTAGGCTAGCATCGGCTAGTCAGGGCTCGCTAGCTGGCTGTGGGTTAAAACCAATGGTACCATTTTGGGGTAGGTGCACCTCCATTTTAGAACCTATTTTTAGTGGGGGTTGGGATGCTCACTGGGGGTACGGGGTTTTGCCCCATGGCCAGCTCCAAGCTCTGAAAGGAATTTGTTGTCAACCAATTTTTGTGGACCATGGTGAGATCCGCTAAACAAAAGCTCAAATTAGGGGCATCACAGAGGTTCAACTGCAGCCACAACTAGAGTCTAGGATGCATTTGTATGGATCTGTTTGGGAGGGTTTGGACAATCCGTTGCTTGTCCCATGCCGAACACTGGTGATTACTTGCAGTCGACGTGAATGGTCATGAACCGTCAAGCAATCACCCAAATATTCGTTCACAGGATACTTCCTTATTCCCTTCAAATCCTCGCCTTCCTTTGATTTAGCGAGTTCTTGCTTACCACCGTGAGGGTACTCATGAACAGGGCCATCAACTGCGCTCATATTTCGAGATGCTTCGGGACGGCGCTGGGCATGTTGGCTTGCACCTTGCGCCAGGATATCCTGTATACGGCATCCTCGCTAGCCAGGCGGGGGGCGTGGTACCTCCACCGAAATTGAGGTGGGATTGTTGCCAATGTTTGTCACTGTCAGCTTCATTTGAACAAGGATTGAGACTTGTTGGTAGAAACGGTGCAGGAGGGCTGTCAAGACTTCCACCTGAAGCTAATGCAAAACCTCGGACGCGGATCCTGCAACATGAGACTCTTGTCAACACCTTCGGTTTTGAATGGGTTCCAAGTCTGGCCGCTCAGTGTGTACAAGGCGTAGTACAGGGCTCTCGCGGTCACGTTTCCTCGAGGCTGCGAATCCGTGACGAGCAGATCTACAAGGCTTTGGCCAAGAAGATGATGCAGTCCAGGCTCGCTGGGCCGGCGTATGGGCAACTCAGAGCTTCCCCTCCAAATGCTGATGGCTTGCTTGCGTCATTGAGTGAAAACCATGTAGGCTGCTTTGGCGTTTGAGCTGTGAACTATTCCTTTGAAAACCAGTTTGTTATGTTTTATGTCCCTTGCTTCTAGGATATGATGCGTAGGTGTGACGCATCAACACATCCAGTCACACACACACACACCGTGCTCCGCTCTCCCAGCCAAAATGATATTCTGCCCTGATTGCGTTGATGCCTTTGCCCCTGCCCAACAGGGGCTCTGGCCGGAGGCCTAAGTGATGCTCCGCTAAGGCCTAAGCCCTGCTGTTCGTGGAAGTGCACTCCTCCAGGGAAGACATGCTGCGCGATGATTGGAATAATTGTTGACGATGATGCTGGGAGGATGATGATGACGACGACGACGAGAATGACGATGATGACGAGAATGACAATGATGACGATGATGACGATGATGACGATGATGATGATGATGATGATGATGATGATGATGATGATGATGATGATGATGATGATGATGATGATGATATGGCGACGGCGCTTGCACTTGCCACTTTCTTCAGGAAAGTGGCCTGGCTCGCACTCATTGCATGCTTGTTGCTCGAATTGTTCCAGACAACACTCCCTTTCCGTTTGAAGCTGCTTGTGACGCGTTGTGACGTGCCTCATGCTGGCTGTAGATAATTGTTTCAGTGCCAACAACCAACTGAAGCACAGATCCCACACACTCACCTTTCAACCTTGGACGTTCATGGTGATGTGAAGGCTAAACACTTAGTTTCACTGTTTGTTTTGTTTGCTCAACCCATGAAGCTTTGCTGAGTACGGAGTCCTTCAATTCTCGCGGCAGCCCTTGATTGGCTTATCATGGCGAGGAGTGAGCATTGTTAGCCGCAGGAAAGTCAGTGCGAAGCAAGCCATCTACCTGCTGCAGTCCTTCTCACAGGCCACGGATGGTTGCTTGAAGTTGGGGATGGTCGTCAAGTCTTTGTATGCTAGTTTCATGTGCCGCTCACTGCGGTGCTTGAAGCATCTCTCTACCATCCTTTCAAATGCTGTTGTCGCAAGGTGTAAAACGAAACTCAAAGCCTGCTGTATGCACAGCAAAGACAAAGCCTACTGTATTGATGGCTTTGTACACCTGCTACCGCCCTGGCCTGCTTCGATTGGCACAATGCTCCACAAAAGGCCAGATATGAACATGCGAGCCACAGAAGGACCGTCAGAAAACCAGCATGGCGACATGCAACCAACATGCTATCTCGCTTGAGAAAGGCGGTGCAGGTTTCCAAGAAGTAAGCCCCTTCAAGTAGAAGTGTTAGGCTGAGTGGAGTTGGAGAGTACCGAGCTTCGCAAAGAGGGAGACAACGGTGCTGCTCCCCGAGCCCTGCGCTCTCTGGATGCGAAGGAATTGATGTTTGGGACTGCTCCGCTTTTTTGTGTGTCAATTGGTTGAAAGGGGGCGGGTGCTTTTTTTGTTGGTCGTGTTTTTTTTGCTGAAATCGGGGGTTGTATTTCCAAAAGTTAGGAGGCTACAAATTGGCTCGGGAAAATGAGCTTCTTGGCGGACCTTTTCCAAAGCTGCACTAAAGGCATTCCAATCGCCAATAGGTTGGCGCATGTGTGTCTGTGTGTGTATGTCGACTTGCAACGGCCTGTTTTTCTAGTTTCGGGCCGCGTGTACCGTCAGCCACGTCCGCGTATGGGTGTGCAGATGTGCCACGCACCGGTTTGCTTTCTGTTGAATTGTTTGTTTATGCCAAGGTTGTGGATGACATAGAGATGTCATTGGACTGTCTGGGTTTTTTGTAATCTGCGGATCTATCCAAGCTCAGATCCTACCTGAATGCGCTGGAACTTGTTGATCCATTTTTCGAAGGAACATCCAGATGTTTCACCTGAGTTCCAGGAAGTCCGGAGGACTCTGCAAATCTGGAGGAGTCTTTCAGCCCGGGCGAGATGCCGGAGCTGCATGTTGACCAACATAGAGATGTCCTCTTTTTCGATCTGATAGCAGGGGGTGACAGGGATGCTCATTGGACTGGCACCAACGAAGACGCCAATGATGTATCCGTGACGCAGCGGGGGACGCTCCACTGTGTCTCTGCTTACGACACTGAACGCCATGGCAACCGTCGCGTGCAGCTTGGGTTCCGGTTTGTTTGTTTGGCTGTCCAATTTTCGACCATGTTAGACGTACAGGACTTGCCGTCCGGCCATCCGTTTGAAAGTTCCATATAATATTTGCCTGTGTACATCCACCCACGGTCGCATTCATAGCGCGTGTTTCTTTTTGTGTGTGTGTGTGTGTGTATTTTGGTGTGTTTCTGCTTGTGTTTCTGCGTTTCTATGTTTGTTGGGTGTGTATGTGGGTGTTTCTGTGGTATGTGGTTGTTTGTGTGTTTGTTTCTGTGTGTTTGTGTGTTTGTGCATGTGTCTGTGGCGGTGTGGATGTTTGAGTTGCAAGGTTGGAATGTTGTGAGGTTGCGTGGTTGTGTGTTTTCGGGGGTGGCTGCGTGGCTGCATGACTGTGTATGTGTTTGTTTGTTTGTTTGTTTGTTTGTTTGTTTGTTTGTTTGTTTGTTGGTTGGTTTGTTTGTTTGTTTGTTTGTTGGTTTGTTGGCTTTTTGGTTTGTTGGTTTGTTGGTTTGTTGGTGTGTTTGCTTGTTTGCGTGTTTTTGTTGTTGTTTTTTTTTGGTTTTTTGTTTGTTTGTTGTGTTTGTCGTTGTTTGTTTTTGTTTGTTTGTTTTTGTTTTTTGTGGCATTGTTTTGTTTGTTTGCTTGTTTGTCTGTTTGTCTGCTTGCTTGTTTGTTTGATTGTTTATTTGTTTATTTGTTTATTTGTTTGGTTGTTTGTTTTTGTTTGTGTGTTTTTGTTTCGTGTCATTGTTTTGTGTTTGATTGTTTGATTGTTTGTTTGTTTGCTTGTTTGCTTGTTTGCTTGTTTGCTTTTGCTTGCTTGCTTGCTTGCTTGCTTGCTTGCTTGCTTGCTTGCTTGCTTGCTTGCTTGCTTGCTTGCTTGCTTGCTTGCTTGCTTGCTTGCTTGCTTGCTTGCTTGCTTGCTTGCTTGCTTGCTTGCTTGCTTATGTGTTTGTTGGATTGTGCGCGTTTGTGTGCGTATGTCAAGACAATTGACCCCTCCGACTGCTTCATTTTCTTTCAGCCGCCTCCCACCCAAGAAAAGGTCAGGCATGCCCCAAAGACGGGATTAGGTTTCTTCCAGTATGGTCGGAACAGGTGAAGTCTCCACAGTCTTCGCTTCGAGTGGCGCGGTTCTTGGTGACCACTTGTGTGGCAATCTGCTAGGCGCAGTGCACATCGCTGGAATTGGCTGAGAGTCTGGCGCCATTGCTGCGGCTCACACTGGCACAAGGCGGGTTAAGTCAGCCATTTGGTTAGGTAGATGGGCAGTTTGGTCTGAGCTGGCCGGTGCAAGCCCACAAAACGCAACAGCTCCTGATGAACCTTCTCAGCTTTGACAGGTTTGCATGGTCTTGCTGCGGGAGTTGGGGTGGACTTCTTGCGACCCTGTTCTAGGCATACTTACGGAGAGGTGAGCAGCGTAAACCTGATAAATATGAACAGAGGTAAACGGCAGAATCAAGCAGATGGGGCAATTTGCAAGGGGCCTTCGTTTGGACGCTGACCCACGGCGGAGACATTTGCGTGACCAAGTTTGAGGTTCCAAGATGTGCGGACTCATTGGACAAATTTATCATGACTGATTGAGCCCAAGCAAGCAGATGATTGTTCATTTTGGTATTGCCGCCAGGCCATACCAAAGACCCGAGCTTGTCAGATTGGGTTGCCGAACCCTCAGATTCCGCCGGAAGAAGAGACGGTTGGTGCGTAGATTTCTGTGCACGGCCCGATCAGAGTGGCGAAACTTGAATCGGGGCGTGCTTGGGGACCTTGCGCACAGAGGTCGCAGATCTTGGCGCACAATGTGTTCCGCTAAGGTGGCTTTGGGCGCGCTAACTTCCCTGCCTTCATCCATGGAGGTTCACGCGCTGTGCGAGGAGATCGTGGAGCATTGCGCCTCGTTGCATCTGCTTCGCAGCAATTCAACACCGCTGGATTGTTTGGAGATATCAGCTTTGCTGAGCAAATGGCTTGGATTGCCGCCCTTTTCCAACTAGGATCAGCTTGACTCTGTTTGCGCTAGCTATTGCTGTGCAATGAGCAAGCCAATGTCAGCCTGCGGTTGTGATTCTAAGAGCAGGGAACACTGCCAACTGCAAACAATTGCTGTGCGTTTTTTTGAAACCGTTTTTGCTGCTGTAATCTGCTTGTGTGACCCATGCACAAATTGCAGTTGCAGGCCGCATGCGCGCCATGCATCCTTATCCTTGCAGTGCTTGCTGCTATCATGCAACTCAAAAAGATGCAAGAAGTATCACCTGCAAGTCCTTTGCCCCCTTCCCCTGCGTCACCCCCTTCACCAGAGCTTAACTTCCAGTCCCCTTGGCAGGCGCACGGCAGTTGGCGCAGGGCCGGGCCATCTCTGCCCTCGACACCTCGCAGCTCCTGCGGGCCCTGGCGCGGCGGCCGCAAAAAGAGTCCGCACAGCTGGTGCAACTGCTGCTCTGGAAGGCAGGGCCACGGGGGGCACTGAGTTCGGAGGTTGGAGGTTCAATATTTGGAGACAAACCAACTGTCAAAAAAATTGGAGGTTTTATTTGGAGGTTCCCTTTGTCGACAAATGATAGGACCAGGAAAAACATCAACTGACATGCCAGCACACCTCCCAATCTTGAGCCGTTGCCTGAGCGCCAGGTGCTGTCAGAGCACGAAGGCTTCAGTGTGCTTGACCTGCTGGGGGCCATCCATGCAGCGGTCTCTATGTACGAGGACCTAGCACCTGTGAGTTCTCCAAAACGGGGACCAAATGGGTGGGTTCCCTTTGGTTCCCTTGCAAAAAGAACAACAGCAGGGTACCCTGAACTCTGAAAAAAAGGCATGTGGGGGTGTTTGAAAGCGCAATCTAATCAAAACAAACCATTTGCGGGCATGTTCCTGTTTGCACAGCTGGAGCCTCATCAAGAATGTCAGAGCTGGAAGGTGACCAAACAGAAGCATTATGAACCAGTACATGGATAGGGCTGCGTTCCTGCTACGTATCCAAGGGTTACACAAAAACATAAGGAGAGGACCCACATACCAATTTGGTAATCTGGCACGGCTGGCAGTTTACCAAATGACCAAATGAACCACTCAAGCGGTCCCAACAGACTTTTGCCACGAGAGGAGGGCCCGAGCTTCGGCGTGACGGACAGCCTGCACAGCTCATTGATGAGCCTTCTGCTGCAGGAGGGGATCGACAGAAGTGCGGTGCCCTTGTGAGGGTACCATTTGGAGGTCCGCCTTTTTGATACCTACCCATCTAGGGGGTTGGTTTCTGCATGCCCCACCTGTGGATGCCCACTTTGGAGAGTGCTAAAAAGTGCAACAGCGGTTGGAATTCAGAGCTGGGTCCTAAAAGTCTAGACTGCACCCCTCCCAGAACCTGCGGAACTTCCCGCACCTGGGAGTTGTTTGTCCAAAGTTGTCCTGCTGCGGAGATACTTTCCTGTTTGCGGTGGTGTTCCATCAGAATCAAGATGGTGTTCGGTCCTAACCGTCGGTTCTTTTGGCGGTTTCTCATTCCTCTTCAGCCGGCGGCTGGGTTTCGGATGCAAATTGACTTGCACGGTTTCTTTGGTTGGGTTCCCGCGTTCCCGTTTCGCTTTCCGACCTTGGACAACAAGGTGCAACCTTTGCCTTTTTGCCTGTGGGCCAATAGGAATATCTATGGCTTGGATGATGTTCGGGCGCCGCAAACTCCGCGGAGCTTCAGGAGGCATCGTCAAGCCGCATGGTTGAGCTTTCTTGCTCGGAGCTGATGTCGCTCGCCAGCGTGCTCAGCAAGGCGGGTCGGCCAAATCGGGGCGCGAACCAACAAGAGCAAAGAGCTCCGTTTGGAAATGGTACAAGATATGGGCAAGAGCAGATATTCGTATGAGTCGATGAGGGCGGTTTTTTATGAATAGCGCCGTTTCCCAAGCTCCAAGAGGAATTGTTGTGACTGGCAAAGCAGTACTGTGGCAGCAGGTGGCCAGGGGCCACCCCGAAACCCTGAGGGCGTCCTTGATCTGCAAGCCTGGTCGGTGGTCATGCGAGAAGCCACCAGATTGCTGGCAGAAGGGGAAGGCTCTGGCGAGGCAACCACTCTGGCGAGCACCATCACAGTGGTGCTCAACTGTTGCCTGGGTCGCAGAGTTGGCTCCAGTGGAGGGCTCTAGATCCCTCTCCCACCAGGTAAATAGGTAAATGGTGGGAGTACAGCGGGATGATGAGATCATAAAGTTGGGGCGGTTGTGTCTATTAGCTGTCAAAGAGGTTAGTTACAGGGACAGCTCGAGGGAAGTGCTGCTCGGCAGGGGTCGGGGGACATTGCCTGTAACATGTTCTGTGGCAATTAGAATTATGCAGTCGCTGAGGCTGTGCGCGTTTGTCGGTCCGTGACGAGCTGTTCCTACGTCGTGTCTACTCCTGGCTGGCAGAGTCGGAGCACTTGGAGGGCGAGCGGAAGGACCTCATTGGTCATAGTTCTCGTCCTTTTCTGGTGGAATCCGAAATGTTGCGGCTTGGAAATATGTTAGCCGCAGATTCCAATAATTTGCTCGGCATCCGTGCATCGGGTTTGCCTGCTTTTCCGGAGCGGAATCAGTACAGAGAGATCCTTCTCACTTGGTTCCTTTACTTCAGTATTGGATGTTCATTGCGATGCTTTTTGCGTCTTTGGGTAAATCTGGAAACATTCACGCACAGACAATGTTGGCTTCTTGCTGGGAGGCAGTGGAGCCCTTCTTGCATGACAGCTTTATCGATTGTGCAATGCCTTGCAGGCAGCTGCGTATCCCGGTCCTGCAAATGCGTTTGCAGTTTGCGCTTTTGCACCATCCAGTACAGGATGGGGGAGCACCCCTGCTGGCAAACTCTTTGCGATCCACCTGTAGAAACATGAAGCCTTGTTGATACGGAGCTGACCCCTGCAATCTCAATCGGGTTGCAACCCGCTTGCCGGGCAGCAGACATCCAAGCATGATTCAAGGAACATGTTAGGAAGAGTAGGAACCATGGACCCCACATCTCTGACAAATGTACGCATATGTGAGAAATATATATGTATATAAATGTAATTATAATTATAATTATAATTATAATAATAGTAATAGTAATAGTAATAGTAATAGTAATAATAATAGTAATAATAATAATATAATAATAATGATAGTAATAATAATAGTAATAATAATAATAGTAAATGTCTAATATGCACGATACATGTTTTATGTTTTACCATTTGAGCAGTTGCACCTTGATCGCTTCCCAAATTTCACAAGAACTGACCACAGCTGTGGGTTCCGCAGCCAGGAGCTGCTGGCGGGCTCCTTGGCCAAGCTGGGCGCGGCTGGCTGGATGGAGTCCAGGGCGCTGGGCAACAGCAGCAGGCTGGGGCCAGGGGCGGTGCGTCGAAGCGCTTAGGGATGAAAGCCAAATGGCTTAAATTGAGCCAGGGTGAGCAATGGATGCATGCCTGTGAGGTTTATATACGTCATATGTACATGTTCACAATGTTTCAGCATGAAGTCTTTATCGATGAACATGGTACACGTTTGCATTCACAAAACAAAGTGCTGTGCTGGTCGCTGTCATGGGCCGGGCGTGCGACCAGGAGGGTAGGCAGGAAGTTGCTTCTCGGTCGAACCTGCCTGGCCTGGCCATCAGCAAGGTTGGCACACAATGACTCCTGTCCCAAGGGTTGCCGTCCAAATGGGGGCCGGAATCACGTCGGTGTTTCCATGAACCTTGACAAAACTCTGGGTTTTCAGAATCCTACATTTGGTAACATGCCCAACTTATGCAATGGGGAGAGGAACATAAAGCAGGCAATGGTCGTGTTCCACAACAACTTGCGATGGCCCTGCTTCAACGTGTTTATCCTGAGCAAGGCGTCACTTGGCTCGCCGTTGGTAGTCCTTTCCAGTGGCTCTCAATGCGCTGAGCCCCAAATCGCTGGCTTTGCGGTCCTCCGGTCGCTCCCCCTGCAAATGTCGGGTCATTCGGTCTTCCCCCACCGCTTGAGCCGAGCCTTTCTGGCGCACCGCATAAATCTGCAGGGAATACTTGCTGACCTGGGCCAAGCTCGGCAGCGCTGCCGAGTTGGAGGACCGCACGCTTCGCGAGCAGAAAAGGCAAAGTCCCCGCTCAAGGATGAATCGCAAAGGTGTCCGCGGGTTTGTCCAAGACGTTCCATTTCAAGCATGCCCCGTCTGCATTTCTGGTGGCAGTAGGGGTCCAAGCGCCGTGTGGACATGCCAGCATTTTTGTAAACTAGCCAGAGAATAGGCTGTGGAAACGACTTGAATTGTGCTCTGCAACTTGCCAACTTACCAACTTGCCAGGAAAGAAGTGAATTGAATGTTGAGCTTAGCACAAGCTTCCGGATCAAGAATCAAAATTGCCGTCTCCCCGATCTGCGTCCCCTAGATGTCAGACGGTGACCCCGTAGGTGGGCTCTTGGTGGATCTTCCCCCCAATTTGGTGCACGGCTCCTGCAGCTTTGGAGCTGGGGGATGGAACCCCGAATCCGAGAGCGACCAATGTATGGCTGGTGATTGGTCCCGAAGACTTTAGGAAGCATTCCAGCTTATGGGCGATGCGAATGCAAAGCTGTGAGATGTGAACTTGGCGCAAAGGAGGTGTTCATGCGGACACAGCATTTAGAGGATTGCCTTCCCTTGGATTGCGAAAGGCCTGCCTTGATAACGTTGTTTCCTACTTGGGGTTTGGGGATTAGGATTGACCAACATGTGTTTCTTTATGATTGTGGTTGTGAACTAGGCGAAGAGTTGTGTGCATGTGGATACATGTCTACATAGACGCGCACAATCACGGTCACAATCTACACATGTTTATGGGTTTATCATGAAATACGGGGGCCCCAAAATGGCTGGTGGTTGGTTCCCCGTTCAACCCACCCCACCAGGGGGTACCCTACAAGACACACCCACCTAATCCACGCATCGGACGTCTGCGAGGACCGGGGTCTTCTCTTCCTAGGCTTGGCGCAGGCGCTGCACGGCCTGCCGGCGCAAGCTGAGGAATTCAGGGAGCTGCTAAGGACAGGGGAGAGAAATGTGGCTGTGCCAACGTGACGTGTCCCTTTTGAGTCAACTCAATGTTGGATATGTTTACCTTTCCACTTTCCGAGTGGTTTGTTGGCGTGTTTGGATGCTTGTTTTTTGGTGTTGTTGGAGAGCGTTCGAGTTACTACACCCTTTGGGTGGTGGTATGCAGGGAACCAACAAACCCCAGATACGACATGCCCATTTGATGAGCAAACACCCAACTGCCATGGAGCCAGCAGGCTTCCAATATCTGAAGGTTGGCTAAAAGACATGGGTTTGTCATTTTGGGGGGACCCACCAAAATGGAGGTCTTCCTTTTGATTTCGCTTTAAAACCAACTGAAAAGGGGTTCCTCAAGAAACAGACAGACCCACATTAAATCAGACAAATGGCCCAGCCTTGCCTGAGGAGAAAGTTCCTGCAGCAGGCGAGGGGCAAAAGGAGATGGAAGAGGTGAAAAGTGGTGTCCTCCACTGTGAAGTAAGGACACGGAGCGAACTCGCCAAATATCGACCAGAAAATAGTGATTGCCGAAATAACATGGTCTTGGGAACAATAGTGTTGATTGAGCATTGAAGTTGCACACAAAGAGGGAACAGTGCTTTCACTCGGGGCAACCAAAGTAGCTGAAAGCGTAAGACGCGACACATGTGCCTGGAACATTCATATAAGCAGTGTGAGTCCGAGGCCAATCAGGAGGAGATGCCTTGTGCGCTAAAACGTTGGGGCAGAACTTGATGTGTGAAGGCAGCTGTGTCGTTGTGCATCCCACACGCTGTTGAACTGCTTTTTGGTTAGCTGTTGTGGATGTGTTGATTCTGTTAACGCGCCTTTTGGGAGCTGCATATCAGACGCTGGTGGAAAACTCTCCTGAGAACCGTGTTGAATGGGTCCGACTTGTTTTGATATGAGGCCCTTTTGGGAAGATTGAGTGGGGGAGCCAAAAGGAAACTGGCCATCAGGGATCGCCCCATATTGGGAACCACCTGGGTGTGGCTCAAAATTAAACCACCAGGGGACCACATGTTTTTAGTCATTGTTTCCATTTTCCAGGGCGCCATTTTGGGTACCTATTTTTGACCCACAGCCACCTAGATCTATGTGTAACCAGCGGCTTGAGCGGCTTGTGAGTCGCTCAAGCCGCTGGCGCGGCCAGGTGCGCCTTACCAGCCCTTCCAGTATCCAAGCAGAAGACTTGGTGATGTGTCTTGCCAAAGGAGTCACATTCTGGTCGGCTTTGAGAACACCATTGGTGTCGTTGTGTGTGTGTGTGCGTGTGCGCGTGTTGTTTGCTTGTTGATGTTGTATCTTGCTCACAGTTTGTGTGTGTGTGGTGTGCTTTGTGTTTGCCAATCTGTTTTGTGTGTTGTGGTTTGGTTTGTGGTGTTGGTGGTGTTGGTGGTGTTTGCTTGCTTGCTTGCTTGCTTGTTTGTTTGTTTGTTTGTTTGGTTGGTTGGTTGGTTGGTTGGTTGGTTGGTTGTGCGTTTGTTTGGTTGCTTGCTTGCTTGTTTGCTTGTTTGCTTGCTTGCTTGCTTGCTTGCTTGTCTGTGTGTTTGTTTGTTTGTTTGTTTGTATGGTTGCATGTTGTTTGTTTGCTTGCTTGCTTGCTTGCTTGCTTGCTTGCTTGCTTGCTTGCTTGCTTGCTTGCTTGCTTGCTTGCTTGCTTGCTTGCTTGCTTGCTTGCTTTACTCCAATGAGTTTGTGTGTGTGTGGCATACTTGTGGCTTGGCATGTGCGGTTTGTTTGGTGTTGGGGCATGTCTTTTCTGACCCTTCTGGTTTTAGTTTGATTTTGGTACTGAGCGACCCCCCATTTCATGGAGTGGTTGTCAAGTATCTTGTTTGGATGGAAGGCTACTCCTGTTCGTGCCAAAAGCTGTTTGCTTGTGTTCAAGATGATATGCAGGCAAAGATAATTGTTCAAACAGTGACACACTGACGAAACTTGCATTGCTTGAGGGCGGGTTGCTCGAAGGATGCTTTTGAGACAGTTCTTGAAGGTTGAGTTGTTGTTCACGCAGTGGATGGACCAACTCCTACACCTGGTTTATCCTTGTGCTTGGATGTCGTGCATCCCAACTGGTGCAGTTTATGTGTTTTTGTTTTTCCGCCCATATGTTTCTTTGTGCAACCAGCTCAGCTCAAGGAACTTTCAGATCTACACCGGGCTTCAGTGTTTCCACTTCTACCAGGGCCTTTTGTCGAAGGTGGCTTTGGAGGACCTCCGCGTGCTGCGGCAGCTGCTGGAGGTGCTGGAGCCGTCCCTGCAGCACAAGAACTCCGAGCACGCAGAGGAGTCGAAAAGGGCACATCATGGCAGTCGGGCAGGAAGAATTCCGAGCAAAGACTTGCCCAAGTTTGGAGAAGTAAAGAATGGGGGTGAAGTTGACTAATAGTTCTTGTGGCCCTCGGCCTCCGTTCCTTCAATGGCAGTTCCAAATTCGTTTGGCATATAGCTGCAAGATCGCATTCGGGATGTTTGAGAGAAACTGCCTCTTGGACCAGCAAAGCTCAACCAGGGAAAAGAAGTCGGCCTGCTCAAAACGGGGTCAGACAATGGAGGGCAATGCCGCACCAAAAGATCACTGGGCCGCACATTGGAGACCCAAACGGGCCAGGCCAAGCCGACGGGCTTTCTCTTTCATGAGCAATACCTTTCAAGGGATCTCACTTCCTGAGTTCATGAACTTTAAATAAACTTTTTGGGAAGACCATTTTAGTGGTAAATATAAAGTTTGGACTTTTTTGGGCCATCCACTCAGCAAGTGAGGGATAGAGAGCCCTGTTCAGGAGGGTGCCACAGAGGTGGTCATCCTCGAAGCGCTGGAGAAGCTGGCGGTGCAGTTCCGAGACATGGCGAATCTGAGGCCTCAGGTGAGGGTTTGCCAATTCTCGATCGACATCCTCATGTCGGCCACAAAAGGAGTGTGGGGAAGGCACAGCTAGGACATGCTAGTGGGGGGGGCGGCGGGAGAGGGCTTACAGCTGTCGCACCTTAGTTTACCCTCTAGGGTTTCCTTTGAAATCCGTCGGCTGCGGAAGCTGCCAGAGGCTTGTTGCTCATCATAATGTGTGGATGCTGTTCGAAGCGAGGAGAGCGTGGTTTTGTTGGACCTCGCGCCATCTTGGCTCCAGGAACATGTGGATGAGGTTCAATGGAAAGCCAAGCCAGCCGCGTATCCTTGAATGCTTTCGCAGCGCTGCGTTCAGAACGAAAGCAGAATGCATAAGGATCACCACACACCAACTGGTACGACATACAGAAACCTGACTACGAGCATCCATCTCCTTCCCCCGATTGCTGCATACTTTGTTTGCCTGGGCATGCGTTCGCACCAAAGGAACAGGTACTAGAAGCACTACTACCAGACCAGATGAAAGGTCGCACTTTTTGGCCCACCTCTCTTTTCAGCCACGCAGCCGTGCGCAGCCGGCGCAATGCTTTTCGGAGAGATATGATTGAGGACAGACTGAAGTTGGACTCTGATGTAAGACTTGGTCAGCACAATTGAAAAGCCGTCTCATGTGTTTGAGAAGGAGTTGCTTGAACAAGGTGAACACGAGAACATCGCTGAAAGATGTTCTGAATGCCTACGAAGAATTGGAACCCTGCCATTTGCTCTTTGGAGGCAGGCACAGCGCGAAAACGTGGCAAACTGCGGTGCGATGATGAGACAGAGCATCGATGCAATGCCACTGCTACTGCAGAAACTGGCGAGCTGCTGTGCCGCCATGACATGGATTTGTGTTTTTCCTTGTTTGAGATACAGTAATTCTTGAGGTGTGAAGTGCAAGTCCGGCTGAACCGACCACTGAGATATCTTCGATGAATGGTAAAGCCCTTTTGGATGTGAAAGGGCAGCAAAGCGGAAACCGACCTGCACAAAGTCCGCTGTGAGATATGGGTATGGGTCAAAATTAAACCACCAGGGGGCCGCAGATTTTAGTCCATGTTTCCATTTACTAGGGTTCCATTTGGGGTACCTATTTTTAACCCACAGCCAGATGCATGTCTAGCCTCTGCCTGTGCCTTGTCCAGGATGCTCTCTTCGCACAGAGCCTGGGGGTGCTCAACGCCGACAGCCTGCAGAGGGCCCTCCAGGCCTTCCGCGATTTCCCGCGGTCTGGCGGACTTTGGATATCTTTGGTGTAGGTTTATTGTATACGCTTGGCACTACCGGGCCCGGGGCTTTTGTTTTTGTTTTTTTTGGGGGGCTTATGGAGGGTATTTTTAGGTTGTTTTTTTATTATTTGTTTTTTTTCTTTTTTCTCGCTTTTGGCTTCTTGGCTTTTCGGGTGGCTTTGGCTTTTCGCATCCTCTGCTTTCCCAGTTCCGCTCCGGGCTTTTTGGCTTGGCTTTGGCTTCCCGCATCCTCAGCATCACCAGTTCCTCTCCGGCAAGCGTTCTTTATATTGATGTTTGTGTATGTCTGCATGTATGTATGTCTGTATGTGTGCACTGCTTCGAACATCATACCCCCCCCACTCAGCCACTCCGCTGCTTTTTATATTCTATCGCACCCTTATCTTTGCACCCCTAATTGAATCATCACTTTTTTGAACATCATGGGGGGGCTGCCGCCCCCCCCCCAAATCCCCCGCTACTATTTAGATCTTTCACAGAGTTCTAATTGCACCCCTATTTGAATCATCGCTTCTTCGAACGTCATGGGGGGGCTGCCTCCCCCCCAACCCACCCCCCCCCCCCCCCGCTACTTTTTAGATTGTTTGCAGAGATTTGATTGCACCGCTATTTGAATCATCACTTCTTCGAACATCCTGCTTGTGCTTGCGCTTGTTTGTGCTTGCGCTTGTGCTTGTGGTCGTGTTCGTTGTTGTGGTTATTCTTGTTCTTGTGGGCAGCCAATGAGTGGTGATAACAGGGAGTATATGGTCACAGCCTAAATAAGAAGGAAGCCTGGAGGGCACGGTTCCTCTCAAAGGATTTCTGTTTAAGTTGCCATGGGCTTGGCCTAGGCTTAAATGTCCGGGACCCTTGCCAAGATCCCAGGCTGCATGCAGGAGCCACAAGGACACGGCAGCGCCCTTGGATGTTGAAAGCCTGCCAGTGTGTTGCGTGCAGGCAGCTCGACCTTGGCCTAGTGGCAATCTAGAAAGGGAGAGATTTGGCAATCCCTGAATCAATTGCTCTCAGTGACTTCGGCGGGAAGCCAACCATGTGACCATGAAGCAGTCCCTGGTTCGCAAGCAGCGTGAACCATTATGCATGTGTTATTGATTTTTGGGTTGGGACACGAGACGTCGGAGAACAAGGCTTCTGAACCCAGATCTAAACCCAATCCCGACATCCATAGCAAGCCGAACTCCACACCAAGCCGTGAGTTTGCACAGCTAGAAGAGCGAGAATGCGCTGCATTCTGACAAGTCCCAGGCTCAAGAGTAGTAATCATGTGTTGCGAAATGACGATGATGCGGAGGAGGACGGGGACGAGGAGGAGGACGACTGCGACGATGATGATGATGATGATGATGATGATGACGATGATGATGAGGGGGAGGAGGAGGAGGAGGAGGAGGAAGAGAGGTGGAGCAGGTAGTGAGGATGATGAAGGTGATGATGAGGATGAGGATGTTGATGATGGCGCTAACGGGAATGCTCCCGACGCCGCTGCTGATGGTGATGATGCTGATGATGTCCAATTAGACAGTGTAGGGTTTCTCGACAACACGCTAGAATGAGTTTCTCGAGCATCTCACAAACTGGGCATGGGTCAAAATTAAACCAACAGGGGACCGCAGGTTTTAGTCCATGTTTCCATTTGCCAGGGTTCCATTTTGGGAACCTATTTTTGACCCACAGCCAACTGATTCCCTTGCGGTCGCTGCGGCTGAGGCCCTGGATGCTGCCGTGCAGCAGCTGCGGCATGAGATCGCGTGCCCCGGGGAATCCGGGGACCGGTAAAGCCGAGGTGCAAAGGACATCGCGAAACGGGGGTCTCCTCCAAATCGGTCTCTCCTTTTTTGGGGCTACCCTTTTTGGAGTGGTGCTAAAGGAAAACCAGAAGGAAACCAACCAGTTTGGGAGGTCCCCTAAAAAACGACACTCAGATGTTATATGAAGCACCGTCAAAATTACTTCTGTTGAATTGAGTATTTGGCGTTTCATTGTTGTTGCGGAAATGCACGAAACTATGGCAAACAATTGGGGGCTCAAAAAAAGGATACCCTTGGAAGCAATTCCGTTTATATTCGCGTGCTTGTTGTTCGTGCATGGGATTGTATTTTTCTCTTTCAAATGGCTCGCTCGTATTGGACTCGGATAAGGCGCTCCGATTCTTCATTTGAAAAAGGGCACTCGCTTTACACAGGCTACTCACAGGCGGAGCACGAATCGAAGCAGAATGGATTAGGAGATCAAGGTCTTGGTGTCTTCAAGGGGCTCGATTACCCTTCCTTCCACTAAGATGGCGCCTGTCAACGGGCACCTGGAAGATCAGTTTCCTCATCCCTTTCCTTTCCAATCCTTTCCTTGCCTTTCCTTCTCTTCCTGCCTTCCTTCCTTCCTTTCTGTCCTTCCCTTTCCTTCCTTTCCTTTCCTTGGATTCCTTGCTTTCCTTCCTTCCTTCCTTCCACCGCCGCGCCGGGGCCCGGCGGTGCGGATGCACGGGCAACGCCACGACGCCAGGTGGTTCTACTACTAAGTGAAGGTTTGTAACGGACCATTCCAGGCAATTCGTAAGCGCAGGCGCCCTTGACATGGTTTTGGGCAGCATCTTAAAACGAGGCTCTTGCTGTGACTCAGGTGTGCCTTTGCCACGGACGATGCGCTGGCGCCAACGCACCAGGCCAGAAGTGGAAAGAAGAAGAGGGTGAATCATGGAATTGAATAGAGTAATTTCCTAGAATTTCTTAGAATGGAAAGCCGTCTTCCAAAACTCTCAGATGATTGTTGGGAGGGTATGAGGCTCAGTCAATATATCTAGTGTGCGGGCAATTTGCAAGGAGGACTCACCCAAATTCCCAAAAGGAGGTTCATAGGAGTCAACGCCAATTATCAGTACACTACGCTTCGAACGTTTTCGGACCAGGTGTGAATGTCCAAACCAGCTAGTCAACCTCGCGTGGGCGAGCGTCAGGACGAGCAGAAGGCGCCCGGCACAAGGTACCACGTGCGCCAGGGGGCCTTGGGCCTTGGGGGAGATTCCCCGAAGTCTGACATGGAACAGCGAGCGAGTGGGCGACCCTTTTGTGATGTTGACAGGTTCAAAGCATTCGACACATCTATGTTGTTTGCTTTCGTCATGGTCGCGCGGGCCACGCTCCCCCAAGCCTTTGCTTATTCCGGAAATCCTAGTATCCTGGCTGGCAGAAGCTGCCGTTGCCATCAGCGCCGTGTCAAGTTGTGTCTCTTACTTAGTCGTCAGCGCAAACTCAAGAGCCCTCGCGCACAGGGGCTATGCGTCAATTGCGGGCAAGACTTGTTTTTGGAAACTGGGTTTGTGATCATCGAATTCTGGATTGCCTTTGAGGGCTCCTGCCGAGGAGTTGATCGGTGACTCTTGAGGGCAAGCAAGGTGAGGCGCTTGGCTGAAAGTTGTTGATAACATTCCTGCGCTCGAGGCTTGTCCTGCGCTGATATGGAGGAGCCGCCCTTGCCAGGCACTTAGTGGCCCCTGTCCATGCTTCCTGAAAGCCCCCCCCCCCCCCCGGAGAAGAGACCATGGAGCACCATGCTGTCAACTTCAGGTGTGAAAGCGTCAACCTGCTCCCGAGTGATTTCTCCACAGGTCGACCGCCTCACACCTCATGACGGTTGACGATTATTGGGAGGTTCCTCATCTCAGCTTGACACTTGACACATTTCGGCTTGACACTTCACAGAGTTCAGCGCAATTGACTCGTTGCAGTCGCTTCTTCAACTGTGCGCCGTGCCGTCCGTAAGCAGGAGCAAGACTTGACACGTTTGTTTGCCCTTCTAAGATTTGGAAAGTCCATAGTTGCTCTCCCATTGACGAACAAACCACCATGGGTGTGGGTGTGCGTGTGTGTCAAATTCCGGGGAACCCCCCCTAAATTAATGATTTCCTGTTGGTTTCTCCACCCACCCCGACAAAGGGCACCGAGCCTCAAAAATCACAAACCATGTTGATGTTGCCGGGGGAACATCCCCCAAGCTGTCGTGGCGCTCAGGCCGACCAGACAAGCGGAGCTGGTTGTTGACGAGGTGCTTGGCTTGGCGAGTTGGACTCATTGCGTGGGAGTGTCTCAAGATGAGATGTGGATCCCTTATTGTTGGTGTTTAAACGGGAAAAGGATGCCGTTGCCCTTAAAATGGCACCGAAAACTTTGAGAAACAGGTCCGGGCCAGACCCAACTTGTTGCTAAGCGTGCGGGCTTCTATTGCCTTTGACCAGAACGACACGAGCATGTTAGTAGGTTCCGGGACTTGCTGCCAGATGTTCGACTGTGCAAGGGTGGCTGCTCACCTGTTCTGATTGTTACTCACTTTGGAAAAAGGGATCTGCGATTCCCTTGCTTCAACATGCTGATTGTGCTGACATGAGAAACTGGCAGAATTACAGTCCATGTCTACGCGTATGGCGAACATAGGCCGCGGAAACTCCTGACGAAATCACGGGGCATACCCCATGTTTGCGCGCCTGGACAAGTCCAAGTGATCATGGTGCCCATCATGCCGTGCCAAGACCAGATGTGTTCGAGCCCTGAATTTATGTGTCTCAGACAGTTGGCAGGAAGATGGGAGGGTATCCTTACAAATATGATGGGTTGATGAAGGTACCTTTGGACTGGCGGTTTGACCGGGGTATCCTTGAGAGAATTCATCGATGCCTGAGGCTACGTGCAGAGCCAACTTGACTTGCACCCAATGCCGGAGGCCAGAGGTGGTGAGTCGACAAACATGCAATGTCCAACTTGCTTGTATTTATGTGGTTGCCTGTGTCAAGCACTGTGGGTCAAAGCCCAATGTTGTTCTTCCTGAATGGAGCGAATGCTCTCCTGTTCTCATCCGTTTGTTTGAGGACCTGCTGGGAATCTAGTTGCGAATTGGTAGCTGCGCTCATCAGTTCCGGTGTCGCCTGGTGTATGGAGTCATGCGCTGCGGTCGCTAGGCCAATGGAGATCGACGTGGGCGTTCAGGATGGGCTACATGCGCAGTGCACAGTCGCCCTTGTCACCCCTTCAGGCTCCCAATTTACTCAAGGTCCGTCGAGGAACTCTTCCCTTTCCAGGGTGCCCATCTTGCATGTGCCATTCTCAGAGTGTGGTTCTCAGATGGCAAAAAGACAAACTGTGTAACGTGGAAGCTGGGTGGGTGCGTGTTTAACATTTCTTCAAAAGCTGCTCTTTGCGCTCGCGCACAGATGTTTCATCAAAACAACCATCTAGGTTGTTTTTTTAGCGGACCAACAAAAAGTGTGATTTTCCTTGTGGTGTTCATTTCAGACCAACCAAACGGAGGGGAGGGGGGTATCCTCAAAGTCACAAGACACTCGTGTAGACTCGATGTCGCGCCCGGCACCGCTCCATGATTCCTGCACTGCTGGTGACGGCGCACGCAGAAGATGCAGTGGCCTTTGCCAGCGACCGGGCATGCCTTCGTTTGCCTCGCAGCGTTTGTGTGTTCTTTGATTCTGGCCTATGCGAACTTCTCCAACTAGCTACTTCAGGCTGGGACTCGCTTTGATTGAGTTGGAGGTCTCCAATTGTGAACGCTCGCAATGCTTATTTTCGTTATATGGCCATGGGTCGAAACCAATGGTACCATTTTGGGGTAGGTGCACCACCCATGTTACTCTATTTTAGTGGGGATTGGGATGTTCACAGGGGGTACGGGATTTTGACCCATGGCCATATGTGTGATTCTGGGACCTCCAGGTGGCAGCGTGCGTTCGACGAATCTCCAGAAAGTGCCATGAGGCCACCACGACCATGTTCAAGGGATTGTGCACCCTTTTACAGTTCTTGAAGAAAGCAAAGTTGCTGGAGACATAAAGGCCGCGCCCATAGTGGCCGGCCTACCAAACAAGCTGTTTTTTCAGAAACAATGGCAATATGTTCATTGGAGCAGATGAGTGTTTTCAATTCTAGGGAAGCCCGAAAACAGCATGGTTTCCCTTTTGGCACGTTCAAACACTATCCGAAAAGGGGTCCCCGATTGAAGACTGCGGAAGGGCAAAATCCTGCACCGGTTGGCATGTGGTTTTGGTCAGTTTGTTTTTATTTGTCTCGGAAACATGATACGAGAGGTCCAAACAAATGATGCCCCAAAACCTGAGGGAAAAAACTGAAAGACGATACAGGACATCTTAACGCCTGAATGAATATACCCCAGACAAGCCATTTTGACGCTGACTCATATGTACATATATATTCCTATATATATATACACATGTGTATATATATATATACCTTTGGTCCAGCGCTCTAAACCCCCCCCCCCCAACCCCCTCCCGCCGGGTTGGTGTGGCTTCGACTATTTTGAAAAGTTGATTTGGGATGTGTTTTGGGAACACCCTGCCCGCCTTGTGGAGTGGTTTTAGGGCTTGCTTGCATTTGGTTGGTTGGTTGGCTTGCTCATCAAGGGAAGTTTACAAGGAACTTCCGTGGTACGGACACTGATTGAAAGTTAGCTCTCCCAGAGAAGACAAGAGCAGCATAAGCACGCGCGAGAAAAACTGCCGCGTTTGGCGGGGAATGGAAATGTCCAGAAAGCGCGGCCCTTTGCAGGTTTCAGTTCCTTCAGATGCTCGGAAAGTTGGACGCCTGGTAGGGCGGTCCAGGGGGTCGGGGTCGCGGCGAGCGAAGTGAAAAAACAAAAAGCTCTAGCTGCTCGAGGTTGACCGCAAAGGGTTCAGCTTCCGATCGTTGCGCAAGCTGACAGAGGCAGACAGGCGCACAGAAAACACGCGTTCTTTGAGGCCGACCGCCCGAAAGTCCACAGAGGGTTGCCAAAGGTGCCGTGAAGAAGATTGTCGTGGCTCCCCACGACCTACTTGTGGTTGCCCCCTGTTTCGTCCCCTTTCTGTACAACTATGCATGTGCATAGATATATATATATATATATGATGTGTATATATACATAGACAGATATGCGTATATATGAATATATATATATATGTATATGTATGTATATATGTATATATATATATATATATAGATATGTGTGTGTGTGTGCACGTGTATGCGCTTCTTTCCAGTCACCGACCTAGGCGACCTCCTTACGAGCAACGTGGACGGCCTTCAGTGGGACGTGGTGTGCGCCACCTGCGGGCATCCACGCGAGCGCTTCGCGAAGGTGCAGTTCAAGTCTGCCATCGAAGTGCTGAAGGCGCGCTGAATACGGCCATGTTGCGCGATAAGAAATCCCTTTTCACTGTCGAGAATCTCGCAGGCTCCTTGGCTCTACGGTGGAGTTAAGAAATCAGGTTTTTTCCGAGCTCTGGGTGGCAAATTGGATGGGGATCTTGGATTGCGGGACATGGGGGAGGGTTGGTCTCCGGCGGCCAAGACCATGCATGTTACCAGCCAATTTGCAAGGTAGAAAGCAAATCGCGCCCAAGTCGCGCCCGTCACCTCAAGATGTGCCAGTCGCAACTCGACTGGGTTCAGGCCTGTCTCCTGGCCTCTACATGTTGGTGAATGCGATTATGTATCTTCATGTGCTTAAATGAAGCGGTTCGCAGTGGGGAGGTGCCCATTTTCAATTGACAATCTGTAATATTGGTAGATATCCACTGCATGGTTGAGCAGAAATCGGTTTTTGGGCGGCTCCGAGACTTTCGGGGTTTAGTTTGTTGGATCTCATTAGGGAACCATCCGGGTATTTGGGAATGAACTTAGGGATCAACTTCAAGGAAACCACAAGGGATGATTCATAAGCATTCATTGTAGACACTATGTAAAGGGTCTATCATTCCATTTCCCTTGGTCGGTGGTTAAGCAAAACTTGGATGTATACCCTTAGTGGTTTGGGGGTTGCGGAACCATGTTGGAACAGAGTAGCAAGCGGCTGCCTGTGCATGTCAAGCTGCGTTTGGGTGGATGTTTACTGGCGAGGGTTAGGGAGGTTTTGGAAAGGCATACCGGGATGTCTCGATTTCTCGCAGTTTGAACCAAACTTTTTTTGTGGCCACCTGTGAGCTTCCTCTCGGGGTGGATGTGTTATGCACAAAGCCCTTCACGTCGGAAGTCCAGCGTACACTTAACATTCGGACGGTTTTTGCGATGAGTTTAAGCTTCTCAGCTGACACAGCAAGTTAGGGCTCCAGGCTGGTTGATTCAGCAGCAGCTTTGCAAGCGAGCTCCAGCGATCCAGCCCAACCTGGCAGTCAGCCGGCCAGGCGAGTGGAGCCCACATCGCCACGAGGCCCGGCACTTTGGGAGAGGTTCACCCCAGTTTTTGCTCCCAAGCTCAGACACCCCTTGCCTCAGCAAGAGTATTAAATACGCGCAGATTTGGGAAACATGTTCTCTGAGGTCGCTTGTGCTTGTGCGCACACGAGCAAGTGTCAGAGGATTGCAGTCATGAGCAGATTGAGCACTTCATCTTCATATTTGATCGGTACATTGGCCCGAATGTTGAGGCGTACGACAATGAGAAAGGCTCGCAGAATAACACCATCAGACAAGGATTAAAGGCTGTACCAGTCCTCGCACATGTTTGCACCCGTGATTGTAGGATTCCGCCTCTTGGTTTGACACTTGAGCAGTTTGGTGAGCCATCTCAGCTGCATGAGTCACGCAATCGTGAGGCAGTGGCCCTTTCCGAAGTGCCAGCATGCTGGGTGCGAGCTGTTTGCAGCTGAGGCCGGTGTTTGACAAGCAGCGCCCGGGGTTTCACGTGGTTGGCAGGTGTCTTGTGTTTCCAGTTGGAAAAAAACCAAGGGAAAGCTGCAAAAGTGCGCAGTCAGTCCAAGGACCCAGATTCGCTAACAGTGATGCTATGTCAAAGCAGTCCCAACAGGGATTAGTTTTCGGGATGACAAAGAGGCAAGCAACCATTCCATTTGGCAGTATGATACGGAATGATACAGAAAAACAGGGTCTCCCTGATGTCGTCTGACGGTGAGCGTGTGAGTTTGACTCTTGCCAGGGCGCATCCCTGGCAGAACTCCTGGACGCTTTGCTCCGCGAGCAGCTTGCTTCATCAGATCAGCCTTTAACTGGGTGCCAAACAGCCCATAGTTGTCAATTTCGCCGAAAGGAAGCCAAAAGGGGTTGGCCATTTGTGATTTGTCCTTCTTTTTGCAGACCCCTCTTTGAGAAACCAGAAGAGTGAGCTATACCTTGGGTTTGGGACTACCGGCCAGAAAGGGAATCCCGCTGCTCGTCAGGTCCCTAGAGTCCCTAGAGATGAGAGATTTCAAGTCTGCAACATGGCACTCACAACACAGGCTTCAGGCCTGGTACCTGTGTCGTGCAAGTTGCTATGGACGGGTGGGATGCTTCTTGAAATTAAGGCAGAGGTAGATTTGCATGGAGCTTGGCGGCTTTCCGATGGATGTAGGACTCCTTCAAGCAAGTGACTGTGCATCACTCGGATGTATTGCTTGCCATGCGTTGATTTCTCTTGAAGCTGTTCAGACGCTTGGATTGGCGTGCCTGCTCGCTTTCACTCGTTCTGACTCGGGCTCGCCGAGCCGCAAGTTAGTTGAGGGCGACTCATCGCCCCTCTCGGGTTCCCCAGGCAGAATTGGCATGCCGTCGTGACCCACAACTCTCAGGGCGAGTGGCATGGCTCACAAAGCGCGCGGGTCGACTGGGTGTTCTTTTGGGGTACTCCTTTGGTGTTCTTAAGGGGCAACCAAAAGGGAACCGAACATTGGGGTGGGTCCCCATATTTATAGTCCAATCGGATCTGGCAACTTGAACCCTTGCAGCAATGAAGTCACACGCTTCGAAAGGCAAACGTGTGTCCAATAGAGGCCGGCAATAGGAGGGGTCAGGCTATACATGTTGCCTTTGTCTAAACCTGGAATTGTGTTCGGACCCCAGGTTGGCTTGGCTTTAAGATGTTGAAGCTGTCGAAGCCAGTGTCGATGGCACTTGTTTTCATTGGGCTGCGGCCATGTGTATCGCTGGGTTCTTGGTCAATGTGTACCCTTTGGCACCGCTTCTGAAAGGAAACCGAGCTACACAGGCTTGAAAAGGCCTTGTGTCTTGACTAATGACCACACCCACTGTGACCCAAAGGGCTTCCATAGTTAGCGCAAGGGTCCCCCAAAGTGGGAAGTGCCTTTCTGATATCCCTTCAATCAATGGTCCACCAGTTTGAATGACTCCCAACCTTGTTATCACTGGCCCTTGAGTGTGCTTTGAGTTGCAGTGAGCTGGCTGCACATGGGGCGAAGCCAGACAGCATACGTGCTGTTTTGGCGAGTCCGAGGCATGAGGACGTGCAGCACCGTGCAGTGCACCAGCATGCACCCTGGCAGCAGGGCGCAAGGTAGATTGTTGCAGAACAGTCTTGGCTGCTGCTGGCTTTGCACTGCCCCGCACGACATGTCGGCAAACAAAGTGAGAGCTTTCACATCTTTCCGTTTGGCCGCGATTGTCATTATTCCAAGCTCATAAGGAATGAAACAAAATACACAAGAGCATATTGAAGATATCCATAATTTCCAGCACTAGGTCCAAACGGGGTGGGAAAAAAAAAACTTGGATCCAAGGTGCGGAGGGCCGTGGCGGCGCTGCCAGCGCCTCGGCAAAAGAATATGTGACAGCTGTCCTGGGGAAAGAGCGGAAGTGTTTCATGAACCCCCCCCCTGTTGGGTGGCTGGGACATCAGCTTTTCAAGAAAACATGGAGGAGTGTCCTTGTGCTTAATCTGGGACAGGAACCGTGAAAAAAAGCAAGTCGACCTTCCAGGGTCTATCAGGAGCATTCAGCACAAAGCCCAAACAAACAGGTCCAGCAAGAAGGAGCTTGCAGTCAACCTACCAGAAAGCAGAAGCAGGGTGAAGCTATCAGAAAACAAGGGGAAGTACTGAGGGAGTGGGCAATAGATGGATTGCCGTGTATGTCAATTTCCGCCGGTTTACTGGCATGGGCCTCAACTAAGTGGGCCGAATGGAGCTACCGTCCGAGTAGAACCAATGAGCTCAACGGTGCTTCATTTTTGCGGGCGAAACTTATGCAGGTGCTCGGCGCTTGGAGTTGAGACCAACGCAAACTACGCTTTGAGAGGCTGTCAAGAGGGAAAACACGGGGTGCATGAGCTTTTGCAAGCGCACTGTATTGAGGCCAGGTTGCTAGAGTTGAAAGTGCAATTGTTGATCGTTTTCAAGAACAGGCAAGCTCCAAGGTTCTCCTACACATGAAACAGACCACATGTGGCGTGTTTTTGCCCTTCTACTCAAATGCCTCAGGCAAGTCGCGAGGGAATTCCACGCCTGAGGCTTGCTTGCAAGGCCTTGTCAGGCAGAAAGGCTGCGGTAAGTTGGAGCATGTGACATACTGAAACAAACTGAATGGAGCCCTGCGCCCTGTTCCAGCAGCTTCAGATTGTGCTAGCTGACAATTTGTTTTTCCTGCTCCAATGATAGGCAACTTGTTCATTGGGTGGAGGATGTTTGCGCACTGCGGTTTTGACATCAGAGGCAACCCGCTTGTTCTGTTGAAAATGCCCTCGAATATGCAATTGAAAGCAAGACATGGACACGTGCGACTGCGACAAGCTTACCAAAGGACCACTGTGAGTGCTGGAATTTTCTCAGGTATGTGTTCAATCCGCTGCCTGAGCTGAACATGACCTTGAGCGTCAGAAAGACACGTGCTCAGGCTTCAGATCTGGAGAGGAGGCAAACACGCTGTCGAGTCTAGATTGAAAGTTGGACAGTTGCTTGTCCTTGGAGATGGAAGTCGAGGCACTCACCAGTCTGGCAAGCAACGTTGCTTCGGATTGGATATCTCTCCACAACCTTCCGCAGAGCTTGCCTCAGGTGCGTTTCAGCAATTCTTCGCCGATCACAGGCTTGACCACGCTCGCTATTTGACTGCAGCGCAGAAATGTGTACAGCATGATGTTGCGGTTGGTCAAAGAGAAATGCCAGTGTTGAAGGCGATTGCCCCATTACTGCGAGTCAGTTCTGATGTTAATAACTCCCCCAGTTACATGAGATTCTCAGGATCCAGCAGGATTCAGGGTTCAGTCCTTCATCCCATGGCTGTGAAACCATCGCAAAGTGTTGTCTTGCCAAGCAGCTGCGCGGCCGCGCATTCAGCGGTTGATTTCCCTCTGAGTTTTCTTTTAAGCCGCCAGAGGTCTTCTGTTTTCAGGACAACTCCTGGACTTCGATCCCGACCAAAATGAAAATGGATCGATCTTGCACGCGTTCTGAGATCCTGGGCACTTTGAAGGTCGCCTTCTTACTGCCATGCTTTGGAAAGTTGATGTTGGTGTCTGGAGCAGAACCGGACCTCAGGTTTTACAGTTTGGTCCAATTTTCGGGGTTCCATTTGGGTACCTATTTTTGACCCACACCCAAGTCTTCTTGCACACGAAACTTATAAGTCACTTCCGCAAAGTTGAATGCAGACACACAGGAAGCGCTGCAACTGTTTTGCCATGTTGTCCATCAAGGTTGGGAGTTTATGCAAGTTGAAAACAGGGAAAGTGGGATGTTCAGCGATTCTGCCATCAGTAGGATTGGCACTTCACAGCTTTTCAGGTGGTGTGTCTTTTATGGCGACTGTGTTGAGGCGAGCGAGTTGCTCTGTAGCTGCATCCCTAAGAATCGGAAGCTCCGTCTTCTGAATCAAAGATGATGAGTTGTGGACTTCCTAGATTCACCAGGGGGATGTCGCAATGAAGTGGGGCGATTCGAGAATGCTGTCGGTGTAAGTGGGGTGATTCGAGAATGCTGTCGGTGTTGTTTGTGGTCAAGTTGAAAGGGATTCCCGCATGTTGGGGTCAGGCACTTCCAATCACAACGTGAGTTAAGGCGTCTTGACACTGGGTGTTCCAAGCCCCCGTTTCGGATTGTGTTTGAACGACCTTGGAAGGAGGCGTCCACACTTGCAGGAGCACTCAAGTTTAAGTAGATGGATTCCAGTGGGATCAGTAAAAGCACACATTTACCGGTGGAATCCATTGTTTTCTCAGGAAACATGCACTGATTCAACTTTCCTCAGGCTACATGCAGGCCTTGACGCTCACCGGTTTTACCGAGCATGTGGTGCTGGCGGACACCTTCTTCCGGCCAAAAGAGCTGAGTGTGGGGCCCCGGGCCGCGGCTGGAGGGGGGTCTGTTGGGCGGTTTCAGAGATATGATTTCTGGAGGCAGCCCCTTTTAGGGTTGGTGTCTCAGGAAATCCAAGGTAAACCACTTTCGAGGCTTCCCCTCTGAGCAAAGCCCGCAGGTCCCGGATGGAAAGAGAGGCTCTCGGAGCCCTTGGCTGGCTCAGTTGGATATCTGGGTTTAAGGGAAACCAACAGGATAGCCACCCGTTTTTTCCCGGGGGCCACTCCAATCTGGACACATGTTCAGTTGAATTGCGTTGTTTGTAGTGCTTTGCCCATTTGACCGTCTCGCCTTGTGGCCCTGTACTGTGAGCTGACCAACTGCATCCACGGGTGTTTGTCTTCGTGCTATGCTAAAGGCAGGCGGAAGGCACCTCGCCAGGACGCATTTCTTATTTCACCCATTGATGTGAGAGTGTCTTTGAGCGACATATCTCAATCGTGTTTGGTAAATCTTCCACCCTATCCTTTTTTGTAGGCTTGTGGATCGGCGCGAGCACCGCAGTCCGTGGCTATTCCTTTCAACGCGCAGGCCTGGCAAACTTCTGGACGTTGCACCAGTCCACTGCCGTGAACTTCATGTACGTGTCACAGCCTCGCGGGCAGTTGCTTTCAAAGCGCATGCCATGCATGTCTTGGGCCCAGAAAGACGTAGCGGTGTGTTCACTTGTAGTTGATTGGGTTCGGGATCTGAATTGGCCCAGTTGAGATGATCCACCTCCCTTCCCATTCCTTTTGTTTGGACGAATCCCGGCTACGGCTGAAGCGCCAAGCAAAGCAAGAACTGGGATGGACCATTTCATGGTCGGCTGACTTGCAATAAGTGGAGGGGCTTCGACCATCGCGACATGAGGCCATGTATACATCGTATGGGTGGCTGGCATCATCGCGGAGTGGTGGCAGAGGAAGCTGAGCTTTCGCTTGATGGATGAAAGATGGTGGGATTACTGAAGGCAATCACACCTCGGATTCTACAGCCATCCCAAATCAAGTTGAGTTCTAAGCGTGTGGGGGTATGCTTAAATCCCTTAAATGTCCCAGGATGCAGCCACAATCTGCAGGACTCTTCAGAGAGCTCCTGCACTGCGAAGGGCTTGCACGAAAAGGCGGATTCGGATTCGGGCGTTCCACCTTTTTCGAGAGTTGGGTGAGGCTTGCTTGAGCTGGAGCATCTTTGAAAAAAAAGCTTGTCGGAGAAGACATTGAGTCAGCTCAGCTTGAAAGAGTCACTTGCCGGAAACTCATTGGGCCTTTTGAAAGTTTTGACCTCTTGGTTTGGCCGGTCTTGGTCTTTGAGCCATAAATCCAAGGCCCCGTTGATTTTCCAGGTCCTTTCTGGACATTGTGCCAGGTCCACAGCATGCTGGAGCAAGCGCTCCAGGCCGGGGCAATGGGATGCCTTTGGGCAGCAAGCCTGGTGGTTCCCTGGTCCCTTCTTCGCGCCTTCCCATGGTCCACATGTTTCGCAGGTTTGGCGCGCCAGGAAGTCTGGAGGGCTTGCGGAGAGTCATCTCATGGTCAATGTATCCGTTTCCAAGGGCCCAGTGAGTTCCCCTCAAGGCCACGAGCTCACGAGCCCCCGACTCCCCGAGGAACTCGCCGGACTCGGCCACTCGCCATGTGCCTCGTTTGAGGAATCCTGCGCACTCGGCGGCTTCGCTCTCTACCGCAGGCAGGCTGATTGAGTTGAGATGACGAGCCAAAGGGTACGGTGAAGCCGCGGGTCTGCAAGCGGCTATATTTGCGTGTTATATATATATATATAGATATAGATATAGATAGATAGATATGTATACATATATAGAGAGAGAGAGAGAGATGTGTATATATATATATATATGTATAGATATGTTGCCATGCGTGATGACTAGTTTGCTTGACATACTCAAGGCTTAAGGAGTCAACAGCCTGGTGCCGCCGCACGCAGTGTCCCAATTAGAGACTGAATGCTGTTGAGATTGATGGACCCGCGGCTGGGTTGAGTTGAAGTAAATCAGATGAGACAACGCATCTTTGTCATTGTGACAAATTTCGACCCAGGCTTTGCAGATTCATCCCGCACTTCTTGGAGTCCCGACTCAGTCAGCAGCTTCAACAGATGGAGGCACGCTTCAAACAGCTCGACAAGTTGTGTGGTTGTTGTCTTAAACTGGCTGTTGCTAGACTGCACGTGACATGTGTGCCCTATTTGATGGTGCTTGTGTCAAGCCATGTGTTCAGTAGATTTGGCGTGCACTTGCGATGTGAGTCAAGCATCCGCCCGGGAAGCTATGAGAATGCCACTTGGCCACAAATGGGTGTCCCTTTTTTTTTTGGGGGGGGGGCACCCTACAAACCCTTAGTTCTCATTAGTAAACAGGCAGAAGGGACTGGGCAGCGTGTGGTTTTAGGCAATGCTAAATAGTAGTTGGCTATTGTGATTGCTAGTTCTCAGCATTGAGCCACCCACATATGCGCAGACTGCGGCTGTATTCCATGGCCATAGAAAATCGCACATTGAGTCTTGTATTGGGAGCCAGCATGGTCCAATTCTTGAGGGGAACAACAATTATTTGTTTGTTTGTGGAACTCCTGTCATCTAGTGCAATGTAGCGAGGAAGGGAGTGTTGTTTGCCTGAAGGTGAAAGGATCTATGTCTTTTTGTTAGCCGTGTTAAGTCGCTTTTTGTTGAAGCTCCAGACCGTCTACTTTGCAATGGGATTGTGGCGTGGATGAAAGTCTGCACGGCTGGTCTCTCAAGAGCTAAGTCCTTGGCGTGCAAAGCGGAGTCGAAGCTTGGCATGAGCCATTGTGAAACCCCCGGCTGCCCTCTCCGCAATTGGATGGCATGCGGCATCCGTACAATTCGCCGCAAGAATACGGCTTATTATGAGGACAGCTTCATGTTTGGCTATGGACAAATATTGAGGTTGGCCAACATTGTTGTGACGTGCACAGCATTGCTCCCAATACTGCCAGGCGTCCTTCTTCCCGAGACATTTTATTCAACAAGCCCCTGGTCGGGAACTGAGCGGAGTCGAATGGAAGCACAGCCCAACTTGAGGATCTGCTGGTCCCTGAGACACATTTAACCCCTCTGATAGGGACATGCCATCTTCTTTCTTGCGAACCCTAATGTTCAAAGAGAGGGACTGATCCATCCAGCATGGCGAGGCCACCGGCGGCCATGGATGAGGATCTTTTTCATGTGCAGTGTTCACAGCATGGACGGCAGCGAAATATGTTATACACCATGACCATGCCCGTGTTGAAGAGTGTCCTGCGTGGTCCATGCGTACGTTCCAACTTGCAACTCAGGTCAGATGCTGGCAAGCTTCAGAGGCTGCAGGAGCCTTTCCAGAGACGTTTTGAGTCATCGAAGGCAGGCCCTTCTAGTCTCACACCATGTGTTTTTGTTCAACAAGAAGCTTTGCATCGTGCTGTGTTTTCCACCAAAGCTGCAACTCAGAGAGGACACACGGTTTCATGGTTGTTCTGAAAGCAATACTTAGCGAATTTGTTCCACCAGAAATCCACACAGAGCCCAGAACAAAAGTCAGAAAACCAAAGAGTCGCACAAAATACAGAGGCCTCACGTTCCCTGTCACCACAAAGAAGCAAGACGGAGCCCCCCCCGGTGCTCGGAAGGTCCAGCGAAGTTTGAGCAATGAGCCCAAAGAACATACCGGAGATCTCACCATCCTAATTTTCCCGGGCAGAGCTCCGACCATCTCTTCTTATCAGGGTCAAGAGGCCAGGATCCTTGAATGGGATACCTTTATTGAGAACTAAGGAATCCTTTGAGTTTCACTCTCGCCACCACGGGTTTGAATGGGGAAGCTCAAAAAGGAATCCGAAGACCTGCATGTCCAGCTCCCTGTATCACACCTTTTGCTGCCAGGATCAGGGCGTCCATGCAGCGCCGTGTCTCAAAGGAGGCTCCCGGGAAAGCCCGGTGGATGGACAACATCCACATTGCACCGGTGGGGATTGGTGGTTCATCAACCAGTAATTGCAGGGAGTCCTTCGCACTGGTGCGAAATGTGTTTGTCCATCCACACGCTGATGTGGGTGGTTTCTGGAGAAAGGGAGCACCTCACCTTGCGGGCGAAAGTTGAAAGGCGGCGGATTGCCCTGCGTTTAAAGCAATCTCCAGGACTCCGCCGTTTAGCTGGGTAATTATTTGTGTTTGTGCTCGTGTTCATGTTTGTTGAGCTTGTTTGGGTCAAGCCCCGCTGGGCCCTTCTATGGACTTTCACAGCGACAGGCCTTTGGTGAATCACCGGGCTTGTGTTGGATGATCAAGTGAACTAGAAATGGCAAAGTTCCCGCGTGCAAGCGAGCCTCGTGTACTTCCTTACATGGTTTCAGTACATTGCTTTGATGCCAGATTTCATTCAACTTTGACGCGATGCTTAAATCTGTTAAGGGGGTAAGAGGGCGGAACAAGGCGCAACCTGTGCAAGAAATCAGTTGGTCACTAAGGAGTTGGTGGGGTTGAGGTGTCGATCGGGTAGTGAGTAATCATGAAAGTAGCACGACCCCATTCAAGGAAATATAATTGTACAAACCCCATCGAGGATTCATAAAGGCAATGTCCACAAAAGAAAGGAATGATGATTGACCACAGCGGACACTCCCAGTGCAACAACAAGTGTCCGTGCTCACAACTAAAGATAGGACAACAAGGCACACCACCCCCTTATCCAGATCTTACCTTTTTGGGATTCCATGTCAAACCCACGTTTTCGCTGTTGAAGCTCAGCAGATCCTCAAGCGGGTGAGGGCCATCTTTGGCACCCTCAAATGTCCGCTCCTCCAAATGATCGTTTGCAATGCACTTTGAATTCTGGTCTCATGTCCATGACGGTGTCAACATGCACATGTCCCACTTTTTAACAGACCCACATGGCTGTGCGCTTTTGTGCCTATGATACGCGGGCACCATTTGCAGGTTGGAGCCTTCAGAGCGCGGGTTTGCAAATGGAAAAGGGACGCCCATGGGCTCAATCCCCCCAAACCACCGAATGCAACACCAGCCGCTATATGAATTTGTTTCAAGGTCTTGTTGGCCAAATCCTCGAGTGCTCCTTGTCAGGCAGCTCAAGGCCGGCACGTGCTGTATCTCAGTGCGCTGGAGGAGCGGATGGGCAATGGAAGCAAGGGGCGTGAAGAGGTCGTTGCAGGGATCCATCAATGTCCACTTCTTTGGACCTCCAAAAGTGAAATTTTCATTGGAACAGCAGTAGATTACAACTTTTGCAGCGAACATCTAGAGACCCCTCTTTCAAGAGTCATGGCAGTGAGTCAGAGTCGGAATCCGGAATCGGAACGCTTCCCATCCATGGAACCCAGGGCCTTCAAGAACCTAGGCCCCCAAAAGCCATAGGTGTTCTTATATCAGGTTAGGTCAGGGCCATCTCGTTTTCCAAAAGGTCACTGCCCGAAACCCTTTCCAGAAAACTCATGGAAACAGTCTGGAACCTTTCCGGAAGCCACCCGGCTCCAAACCCTCCAGAACCCAAACCTGGAAGCTCCCAACTCCGCAGCTTTCCGGTGCGAAATCGGTGCGCACCAGGCTTCGCATGCGGCCATCGCCGCTGGATTGCACGTCCGAGCCTGCAATTGCCGGATTGTCACGGGCAAACTGCTTGTTTTTCCTTTGAAGTCATGGTACACGTCACCTTTTGGGCTGATGTTTGAGTGGGCAACTGCAGGGAGCCGGTTTATTGTCACAACGTGAGCAGAGGTCCACGTCTTCAAGAACGCGGGCACAGCCATTGCTGAGGCAACACAGCGCTGCTTGAAGCAAAGCTAGCCGGGCTTGTGTCAAAACAGAGGAACCCCCAAAATAGGTGGTTTCCTTGTTCGTTTCCCTTTAGAACAACCCCTTGTATGGGGTACCCTAACAGAATACGCCCAGGAATTCCGGGCATCCCTCCCGGAACGCTCCGGAGCTGCTCTAGAATCTTTCGGCTGGGTTTCAGTCCGAGTGGGACGTTGGAAGGAAACGGTCGATGCTCATTCCCGTCTCAAGCCATCCTTAGCAACAGTCAATCCACTTCTGAGGGATGCAGCTCGGAAGCTCAGGGAGCATCAAGTTCGCCAGACATGCGGGGTGCGACGGGGGTGCTTCCGGATGGGTGGGCTTTGTCTTTGGTTTAATGGGGGGGTGACATGCGTTGGGCTTTAGCACGTCAGCCGAGGCTTGGGGGGACGAGTCTACAGCACCATCGTGGAGCCCCACCATTGGAATACGCAGCTTGCAGAGAACTTGCAACCAGAAAAGCGGGTGTTCAGTAGGGTGTTAATCGGATCCCAGAATCAGACAGATCGCAAGTCAGGACAATCAAAATTGCGTGTGCATGTGTGTGTGTGTGTGATGATTGCTTCTTCTTTTTTGCCAAGAGGCATGGTCAGCGACATTTTGAAGTGTGTCCTTGGTGTAGGCATGGCTTAGCTCCCACAATGCCGGCATAAAAACCTAGAAGATCTCCTGTGCCACAGTCAAAACACCTGAATACTCGGGAGAAGGTGCGGCTTGGATCGCGTACTGGGTCCCGAATTCAGATGACAAGGAGCCAGGGAATCGCACAAGGAGTTTTGACCCTTGCTCACATGCAGTCTACTGACCTTTCTTTCGGGTGATCGCGCCTCCAGGCTCGCGGCGCGACTCAGCTGCATGAGATGTCTCTGGGTGACGCACGCCGCTGCGATCGATGATCTATGCGTTGATTTGAAAGCTATGGCATAAAACATGTCCAAGAGCTTTTGGAGCATTGTGCTTAAGCGCTTGTTCGAATGCGCCACCGCAGGGGGTTGCCTTCATTCCAGATATTGTCAACTCGTGGCTGTTGCATGTTTCGCGTTCATGGTACCCTCGACCTGTTCAGGCTGCAATCAACTTCGGTGCCGCATGAGGACGCTAGGCTCGTTCAATTCGGTCAGGCAGCACATCCTGGATTCCAAGACCTGGTTCCGTGCGGCGCTTGTCCGCGACCCTGTGGAGCACCCTGGCGGGAGAAGAGAGTTGCAGTAGGTCAGGTCTTGCTCCCGTGAGGCATTTGGGTTGGATGATGCGTGGTTAAGTTGGGGTCGGCAGCTTGTGGTTCAGGCTTGGAAAGATTTGTTGGATGCATGTATGGGAATCCGTGAATGAAAGCCGGATAGCAGCGGTAGTCATGGGACTTTACGATGGCCCAAGAAATGATGGCCCCTTTAACGCAAGCAAGCCAAGAGAGCGAGCAGTAGCCCCTATCAAGACACAAGAAGTATTCACTCGCGCGAGGAAACGACTCCAAAGTCAGACGAGCTCCCAAAGGCGCAGCGAGCAAAAACGAAGAACAACGACAATGCCGGTAGATACCTGCCGTTCAGAGGTGACTGTGTTTGCGTGCGAGCACCAGGGGGGTCATGTTTGGAGCTTGCTAGTGTGTGGCCAAGGTCTCCCGAAAGGATATGTTCCTGTGAATAGCTGTTTTTTGAGTTCCTTTCAGATTCAGATTTGCGCATAGTTGCTCAGCCTCAGATGTTTCTGGCTTGCACCAAGGCGAATGCTATCAGCTTTCCACGAAGTTGAGAAGCGCAGGCCGGTTGCCGCCGAAAAGCGGCCCTTGGGCTTCACATCACGAGCTCTGGAAAGCGAGCTCAGCCCTGGATCGATCCCCTCTGAATCCATCGAATGAAGCAGGGCCTTGTGTCCGATTTCGGGCAAGCCCTGGGAGCTGTCCCCAACCCTGGGAGCCCTCACACTGCCCTTTCTGCAAGCTCCGCTTGCCACTCGGAGCTCCGGACCGGAGCTTGGGCAGAGACCCAGCTGTTCAGCTGGGGAAGAATTAGATCCCAATCAAACAAATTCTTGAGTGCAGCGGCCCCTTTGTTAGGAGAACTATTCCAAGTGGATTGCAACAAGATCATGCAATCACAGAATCGATTTGAGGTTCTCAACTGCCCTGCATGGGTGTGGCAATTGCTCAAGCGTTGGAGATTTGGAGTGATCAAGCGTTGCCTTTTTGCAATGCCGAAAGTAGCGCAGTCAAAAGTAGGGGCCGCTTTCGGTTTTGAAAGGCGGCAGCACCATCCCAGGGGGCCATCTTTTGACGTCATTGGCCGTCAGGCTCTGGGAGGCGAACGCGACAGCCGCGGCCCATGTTCGGAGAGCTGGAGTGCAGTTGTTGGATATCCGCGGGGGTCTCACAATGTGAGCCTGGGGTGTTTTCTTTGAATAGCGACCGAGCCAACAGTCCTTTGTTTCGAGATATCCCTCGTACTGTTTGACTATGTAGGATGCCGATTTAGCCTTGCTACTAAGAACTAGAGCCTGCTGGCGGCGAATTGGGCCCAGGCACCTGAAGAGTTCAACATCGGTGCTTCGCAGCAGTGGCTGGAACAACTGCGACTTGGCGTCATTTTTGTAGTGCTGCATGTGTTTCTGTCAATTATGTTTGAGACCGCTGAGTGGCTAGTCCACAATTGCAGAATTGCATTTGAGACCCAGTGCCGTTCTTAAGCGCCCCGTTTGTTCTTGCTGGTCAAAGACCTGCCGTCCCTTGTGAGTTGTTGCGGGGGGGGGGGGGAGGAGGGTAGCGAATTGAGCTGCCCAGACTAGTGCAAGCGCTCCGGGATCTATCGACGCGACGGGAGTATCACTAGGAGAGGCAAAACAGAAGCCCCGTTTGGTTGCAGAGAGCGCACGTGGAAGGTGTGTGAAATGCATTGGCTAGTGTCAACACTGTGCGCAGTGCTTGTGACCCCGTGTACTTTTGCACACTTTGAAGACGGCCCGAAATCCTTAGGACACAAGAGCGCGGAAGTTGTGCTGGGAAGTCGGCCAGGTCATCACCCGAAGCAAAAAACATGACTTGAAGACTCGCGTTGTTTACCATCGGCATGTTTTACAGGGATGGTGATAGCAAAAGCGCGGCGGACTCCTGTAGGACAACATCTGGGAAGAGGATTTTGGAATTGAACTTTTCGAGACATCAAGCACGATCCTTGGCGTGTGCCTTTTGCCCAAGACACACAGATGGCAAGTTGGACAGAGGACATCTTGGAGTGCTTAGTGCTTGCGCTCAACCAATGATGCCATGTATGTTAGCCGAATTGAGATCTGACAATGATCTTGGGCAGGGAAAATCGGGCTTGAGTAGCAAGAAGCTTCTTCAGGAATACGGATCGCGGCGAAGAAAACTGGCTCACCAAATCATTGTTCCAGGCGCTCAGGGCGCTGGCAGGCCACTAGAGACTCCGCTCCATCCCAAAGCCGCCTTAGGCACCAGACCCTGGAGTCTTGCCTGGCAGAGGTGCGAGACGTGTGTGTTTTTTGCCAGGGTCCATGCAGTTAGAACATGTTGGAACCGTTTGATGTTGCAGAGACCTAGTCACGATGTCTATTTGTTAACTACATGACCTTTGCAAAGTGTAACTTTGCAAACAGTTTGCTCAGCACCGTTTGCTCACCCGTGGGACCAGCGCTTTGCTGCTATCACCGAAATGCACCAGCCAGTAGCCAAGAATCAGCCACAAGCACTGGCGCAATTTGTTCTACCACCGTTTGCACCCCAACAAGCACCCAAAAAGCCCTGAAAAGTCACACATCACAGCACCTACCACCTGCACCAGCACACTAGATGCTTTGTAAACTCTTGATGCATCATACAGGAATCACTGCGTGATTCAGTTAGATTAGCTACTTGGATAGTTGTTGAGGGAACCGTTTTCTAGCAACGCCTGAAGCATGATTCGATCTCACCAGGATGAGCCCTTGGACTACCACTACATGCCACAGGCAAACTTCTTGGCTTCTCGGATTGTACTATTTGCTCATTCATGCCTTGAGGCGAGGCGGAGTATTGTGTTGGTGCAACGCAACATGATATGTCGGCTGCGTGTATCGTTGAATCTGTTACATGCGTGCTTAAGAGTGGAGTAGAGATCTTACAACTTTAAGCATTGATCCGGCTGACAGAAGACTTGGCACATTGTCTTAGTCGGTCGGGTATCGGTGAAGAATTGGTTCACGGTTAACAGAAGAGTTGCTGAGCATTGTCGCCGAGAGGAAGAGCGAACGGGTTTGTAGACCACAGGCCTGGAGCACATGACAGCTTGAACAAGGACAGCTTTAGAAAAGGGTCGCCCTCTAGCAGATAAATCCCGCAGGCCACTTGTCGGCAAAGCCTGCGAGGGTGCAAGAGACCAAGTGAACAGTGGTCAACATCCCTATCGACCATTGTACGGGTCGTGTTGGACATCACCCGCAGTGTTTGGAGTCGGTAACAATATGTTGCGTGCGTGTGGGCAGCAGTGCTGCGCGCACGCGCTTGACAACTTGAGTTGGTGTGCTTATCATTTGGCAGGCATGTGTGCAGTTCTGCACGGACGATTTAGCTTGCAAACGATTTAGCTAAGGCTTCTTGGAGGCAGGCTCGTATACGCCTGCGTGTTTCTGCAGACCCCACTCCCTTGCGGACAGGAAGATGCGCAGCACCGTAACTTGCAACATTGATGCCCTCACTGGGCTGGGAATGGTGCAAATCCGAAGCATTGGCTGGGCCATTCTGGAGCAAGTGTTGCAAAAGATCCGCGAAAGACCATGCACCTTGTTGCAAGACTCCGCACATTGGGCCCAGGAGTGTCAATGATATTGGTTGTTTCCCTCTACCGCTGCTGAAAGCTATTGCGTTTACAAACGTAGCCGCAACAGCATCAATGGCCCGCAGAGCATCAATTCTCCGGACGCAGGAATGTTAATCAGCCGCGCGCGCGCGCAGACTGAGCAATAAGACCCAGGCAGAACAGTCATTTCCAATCCCCCAAAGTCAAAGGGAGGACATGTGCAAATCCAAGCTTTGGTTGCGAGGCTCACAACCCAACGTTAATCCATGCTACTGCTTGGAAGTTCAGAACCGATTGCTTCTTCGCTTGGCCTAAAACGCCCAGCTCAGGTCGATGCCTTTGGCCGGAAGTATGACCTCACCTACATAGGCCAGGTGCGTGCTTTTCACACGCACGCAAAGCGTGCTCCGAGTTCTCGACTTGAGCCACAATCAAAACCCGGGTAGATTAAGGTTAGCAAGGGGCAGTCCCAGCCAGAAATAGTTGCGGCCGCCTTCTTAATTCTTCACATGGTTCTGGGTAGAAAATTTTAACACCGGGTTTGGATTGTGACTCACTTGGAATTTTGGAGAGGTCGCGTTGAGCGCTTGGAAGAGGAGCTGAAGTTCATCTTTCGCGTTCCTGATCTTAAGACCAGCTACAGGTCTGGGCCGATGCTTGGCGGAAATGTGAATGTGGGTACACCAACGACGTGGAAGTGCACACACTCCTTCTCTAGGATAAAGTAATCTTCCAAGGGGCCTGAGCACTGAATCAAGACATACGTTTTGAGCAGGGGTGGCAGAGGATGCCTAATTTCAATTCGTGTGTCGCAATGGGATGTAGACGCTTTGAGAACGAAGTTACAGAAACATCTGGAGTCATAGAACATCATAGAATTGGAAGAGGCAGCTTGTCCCAGTTCTCTTCGCAAATTGTTTTGGCAGTCCACCGTTTTTCTGCTACCTGGATTTGTTTCTTCAGCTGCCTCTGCTGGGAGTACAACAAATGACCAACAGCCACAGCGAAGAATCCAAGAAGCTGAAGTTCAGCTTCTTGGATTCTTCGCTGTGGCTGTTGGTCTTTTGTTGTACTCCCAGCAGAGGCTGTTTGTGGATTGCCCTACCAGCATGCTAGGTTTGCGGCCATCGTTTTTTGCCCTGCGCTTAGAATCTCTACTCACAAATGACCACTATCCGGCCTTCCATTTCACGATGCCGAGTCCAAAGCGGCCCCCAGCCCTTCTCTCGGCAACAAGCTTCGCTCGCAAGGGGGCAGACTCTTTGCCTCAATCAGCAAACGAATGCTGCTTTCTGTGGCGTGATCATCCACATCATTCAGTACGCAAACAGCAAGCATGCTGCTTTTCAAGCGAAACCACTGCATGTGCGACTCATGATCTCACGCGTCGATGTTCTTGATGCCCTGATATGGGCGCATCAAAGAGTCTGGTTAAGCCTCCCTGTGAGCTAAAGCAGAAACTGAGCCTAGGGGAGCTGAAGGCACACCATTGGGACACCATAGTGCATCACATCCCCTTCACTCTGTATCTAGGATGAAATTAAGAGGTGAGAGAGTGGGATGAGAGATACAGACGGAGGAAGCGCTCGTCAACTCGCTTTCCTGCTCCCGTCCAGTCTCTAGTGTTAGAATGCAATTTATCTTCCCCAATCTAGAATCCTTTTTGATAATCATATGTATTTCATTGATTGGGGAAGAGATGAGAGAGGACAGATCCAATCAGTTCTATTGCCTCGTCTGTCTTTAGCTCTCTCACCCTCTCTTTGTCTCTAACCAATCCATCTTTACTACTAGAATCCTATTTCCTTGATTGGTTGGGAGAACGAGATGGGCCCCGCTTCTCCCAAATTAGATCGGTCACAACTGGAGAAGCTCGTCTGTAGAGTTGGGTGTATTTCTTCCAGCCACAGCCTTTCAACGATCACTTGGCGGCTTGATGTCCCCATGGGTTTTTGAGCTCTGACCGTGCAAGGCCACAAGACCCTGAGTTATTAGCTGTCATCTTTATCACTCACCTTTCATCTGTTCATCATGTAGATTCTAGAGGTGAGCGAAGGGAGCCAGCGAGGGAGAAGAGCTTCCCCACCTTGCCGCTGTTGATGATTGCTTGATTGCTAAATTCTCCCACTGACCAGATACCATCTCCAAACCTTTTGGGCATCTTGAAGTCCAGCTGCCACAGGGAGAGCGGAGTCTTCAAGCAAGAGAATACAAAAAAGCCGTGAATGCACTGAGGTATGCAGATGTCTCCGTCCCTTGGCTGCAGCCCGGAAGACCGGGGCAGTTCCTCACACATGGTGCGCAGACAGCCTCTACCCCCCCCCCCCCAGTGTAGGTATAGGTACGGATCTTGACTCAAAATTTGCCTGCCCTGAGCTTTGTGATTGCGCCCTCTTGATGAGGGCCCACGGTCATATTTTCTGGTTCATCAATAGGGTGTGTCCCTGTGGGATTTCCTCGTATTTGTTTGTTTTCAGCCCCGCCCCTATTCACTAATCATTCTGAGTGGTCAGGCCTTTCGCATCGCTCAGAAGGACCTGCCGGACAGCACTTTGCGCTTGATTTGCCAGATGTATGCCGTTGACTACTGCGCCGTGGCATCAAACAAGGGGCAGTCGTAGGTTTGGGCAATGGGTTAATTTGCAGGGATTTGTTTTTTCCCAGACGCAGCAAATATTCGATGGGTTATCCCGCTGCTCAAGATTTATTGGGTAGGATTCCTTCTGGCCACAGAACATAGCATTGCATGTTGTTAGATGAAAGGCATGTGAGCAGTGCCCAAAACCCAGTTGGTCATCCTAGACGCAAACATATGGCTTTGTAGCATTCCCTATGTTTCCAACAGCCCGGCTGTCCAGAAAACGACCACCCAAAAAAAGGCCCACGAGGACAGGGGGGCCATGCGCGGGAGGCAAGCTTGTTCCCGTGGGCGGAGTGAACAGGATGTCGATTCCCCCGACCATACAGGCAGAACTTGCCAAGACGTGAGACCTCTTGGGATTCCGACACATGAAACCTCCTAAGGCCTTTGCATCATTCACTCATGAACCCGGTCAGAGGGCCGAGGAAGGGGAACCGGGCCTAAGCCTACTCAAAACTGCAACATCACCTCTAGAACAGCCTTACCGTCGGGATCCTGAAATTCAATGAAGTTCTCTGATATGCTTGAACTGTGGAAGGTGTGGAAGGTGCAGTGCAGTTCCAGCATGTCCCATGACAGAGCCAGGATTTCTGGGCATGTTTACCAACCCACGCTGGAGGTTTGTGCGGGTCTGAGGCTGCTTCGGCTTCGATCTTCCTGGAGCGTGTGAAGCCTTGGGCTCATGCTAAAGCCCGCGAGCATCCAACGGAGGAGGCGGTGCTGAGCCAGCGGGCCGGCCTCGACCTGGGCCCATGGATGGCTTCATGCTGACAGGTCCGGATGGCTTGAACCTGAACTGCGCATGAGATCGCCAAGATCGCCACTCAGTCCGGACTGAATGGCTCCGAAACTGGGCGGCTGGCCTTGATGTGCCTGCAGAAGCAAGTCGCAGCATGTCCCGCACTGCGCAAAAGAAGCTTAGTGACATGATGTCAGCCGTTGCTCTAGTTCACCAGAGGCCACCGCTGTGCTACTTTGCATTGCCAAAAGCTGGCCGCCCACAATCTTCAAGTTGCCCGCGCTGGATGATTGATTCACCACGCACGTCTCGAGCACTGAAACAAGTGAAACAAGTGTTCATTTCTGAATTTCTTTGGTGGTGTCCATTTTAGTGGACCGGAGGGAGAGGAATACCTTTGCTGGAACTAACAAGAAAATCTAAATGACCATAATCTTCCATTTGCTTAAGAACATGTTTGTTATTTTCCCCTTTTGGTGTGAAAGGGAATCTATCACTGGACATTTTTTATTTTTCCTCGGGGGCGAACACGCAAATGGAGGTGCCCCGTGCCCAAGCCGCTGCCTCGCAGGATTCCTCCGCCCGAGACTGGACTAGCAAGGAGGCGGGCGTCGAGCACATGTTAAGTAGCGTTTAAAGGGAAAAGGTTTGCTCCCATGGCTGTGGTTGTCAAAACCGTTTTGGGATCCCATTTTGGGCTAGGTGAATTCACCACCAATTTTAGAACCTATTTTAGTGGGGATTGGGCTGTTCACTGCGGGTACGATTTGGATTTTGACCCATGGCCATATTGCTACTAAAATAATGTTCATATATGCTGGCGTGCACCCGCATCAGTGCCCCCTGCCCAGCAGCTGGACGTATAAAGCAACAAGTATATCAGGTTTGTGTATGCATTTTGTGAGAGATGCCCAACATGTTACTACAATAGTTTGCGCATTGTCACCACTACTTTCAGGGCGACGAGAGCTTGGTACTTACGTAAGTAGCAATAGCTAAAGGGGATTCACCTCATTGCAAAAGGCAACTCAATCTCGGAGCGAAGCCTTTTCCCAGATCTTCCCCGCAAAAGAAGAAGTATAGCTGCTAATAACTACCCACAGTGCTCGAAATTTGGGACGGTTCAAAGTACGACACATGTGGCAAGGTGTGGGAGGCAGAATCACTTTAAGAAGAAAAGTGGTCTACACCCCCAGCATCACCAGTGTTTGAATAAAGTCAATACTTTCCTGCTTACTGAAGTGATGCTTCGGTGTCCAAGCTCGACTTTTGAAAGTCATATGTTTTCATCAAACGTCTTGACAAAACAAACTACGCAATTTTCAAACCCGACGTGACGCGGTATGCCGACCAAGGTGGTCGACACTCCCAGCATCACCAGTTGTAAAAAAGAAAAAAAGCAATTCCCCGCGTGCTGAAAGCAAATCTCGCTCTGGTCCGTAGACTAAAGTGGTCGACATCCCCAGAATGGCCAGTGATGATGCACCAAAAACGCTGGACATGCAAACGATGCGAGGGGTCGGCGGCAGCGACGGCCAGTCGGAAGGCACGGCCTATGCGCCCCTTTGCGTGACATAGCACGGCGAGGCCGAACTTACGTTGCTGGCGCACAAGCGGACGCGCCAGCACCGCGATGCTCAAACAGCAGCCAACAAGAACCAACTCGCGCGCGTGCGCGCAAACGCATTCACGCACGCACGCGCACGCGCGCAGGCATGCGCGCACTCACGTAGCCTGGGCCAGTTGTCACGCGAAGCATGTCAACACCATACATTCTTGTCGGCGTTTCCAAAACCAAAGAGTTTGTTTTTGCAAAGGTCCGACCGCGGCGAGTTGTGGAATGTGGCCCATGGCCCCTTCGTATCCCTTTCCTCATTTGGTTTGTGGGGCTATCCAAAAAGCCAGAAAAGGGCCACCAAACCTATTGGAGTGGCCCTTTTTTAGTTCTCAATTTGTTTTTAGGGGGCCCCCAAGCAAGACGCCCACACCCTTACTTAGATCCCAGGAACCCGTTCGAAAAATGCACTTTTTTGCAGCTGCCCTTCGCCATTTTCACCTTGCAACAAATATGTCCCACTTTTGCAACAAACATTTAGCAACACACCGCGTATCCGAAAGGTTTCTACGAGCCAACTGGGGACATCAGGACATCATGTTGGATAGCCGGGATACCAGACTTTGTCCTCCGAGATGTATGACCACCCTTCCCATGCGCCTCACCCTTGCAGACAAGGGGTCGGCGGATATATACATATGAATATATATATATATATAGACATATATATATATAAGTAAGTATAACTATACCCATAGCTAACAAGATGTCGAGCATGCAGACGTTCGAAGATTCAGTGGCCTGAGAGCCTGGTAATTGGCGTGGGAGGGCCATTTTTTTAAGGTTTTTTGTTCGTTTTTTTTTTGGAATTATTTTTGTTTTTCAGGGTCGGTGGCTTTTTGGCTTTTGTGGCTTTTACGTGGGTTTTTGTGGCTTTCGTGGCTTTTCATTTCGCATCATCTGCATTCACAGTTCCTCTCTTTTCGCATCCTCTGCATTGCCAGTTCCGCTGCGGCAGGTGGCTTTTTGGCTTTTTGGCTTTTTGGCTTTTTGGCTTTTTGGCTTTTTGGCTTTTTGGCTTTTTGGCTTTTTGGCTTTTGGCGGCTTTCTGGCTTTGGCTTTTCGCATCCTGATGCTTTCCCAGTTGGCTTCCTGCATCCTCAGCATCGCAAGTTCCTCTCTGGGCCCCCCGCCACCCCCCTTTCGATTAAAATGCACGCCTATTTGAATCATCACTTTTGCGATCATCATGCGACAGCTACTTTTTAGATTCGCTGCCCCTAATTTTTCGATCATCATGGGGGGGGCTGCCGCCCCCCCCAACCCCCTCGCAATTTTTTAGATTTTTTGCCCCTGATTGAATCATCACTTTTTCGATCATCATGGGGGTGCCGCCCCCCAACCCCCCCCCGCGCCTTTAATTGAATCATCACTTTTTCAATCATTATGGAAGGAATTGCCGGGCCCCCCCCCCCCCCCCCCGCTACGGTTTGAGTGTTTTACAGGGATTAGTTTGCCCGTGTTTGAATCCTCACTTGTACCATGAGGCCTTGCCGCAGAGGAACTGATGACCCCCGGCTGTTTTTTTGGTTTTTTTTGTTGGCCCTTGTTGAATCATCACTTCTTCAATCATCATGGGGGGGTCTGCCACCTACCCAAGAGGACCCCCCAGTTGGATAAAATCCCCTCAACCGACCAATTCACATAATATTTTTTCATCATTTCATAACAGAACCTCAACTCAAGATTTGATACATAAATTTTGTAAATATTTTTCTAAATTTTCAAAAATATTATTTTACAAAATTATCATTTTTCCGAAGAAATATAAATCATAAATTTTACAATATTCTTATTGTAAAGTTCATGGTTAAAATTTAAATCATATTATTTCATAATTTGAATAATTGCAGAATTCCTCACGGAATATGCTGAAATGAAATAATTTTCCGGAAAAGGTAATTCACCTACAATTTGAAAAACTTTGTCCTTCACTTCCTCCATTTCCTTTTTGACCCCTGGTGCTACTGGAGGTTTTGAATTTTCAATTTCATTAGGTTTTTCTTCCTCAACTGTTGTTTTTACTTTATTCTCATTCTCAATATGCTTCTGTGTTTTCAAATGCTTGGATATTGCAGATTTCCTCACTTTACACTGGCAAATATCACATTCTATTTCAATCTGATTACGCACTTTATTATATTCCTTTTTCTTTTCCTTCCTATCAATTTTACTTTGTTCTCGGCAGTAATCACAAATATGCACTCTAACATTAAATAGGTCAGGTGGATAAGTGTTTTCACATCGCCTACATTTTTGCATTTTGTCAGTCATCTCCATGCTACTATTGATAGGTGGCATGTCTTTAAGACCAGACCATCTTAAAGATCCCAAATTCCCAAAATATATTTTCCCAAAATCCCAAAATATAAAATCCCCATATTTTCAAACATAAATCTTACAATGATTTTTATTGTAAGGTTTATGGGTTAATTTTTAATCATACATGAACATTTGTTCCCCCTTCCCACATTTTTCAAAATTGGGGAGACCCAGCCACATTTTGGGGGGCAGCCATTGGGGAGACCCTTCCCAAGTTTTTGGGAGACCCTGCCCACCATTTGGGAAGCACCCTGCCCACCAGCCAGGAAGCACCCTGCCCACCATTTGGGAAGCACCCTGCTTGCCTGCCCACCATTTGGGAAGCACCCCCTGCCCACCATTGCCCACCATTTGGGAAGCACCCTCCCACCCTGCTTGCCTGCCCCCATTTGGGAAGCCCCCATTTGGGAAGCACCCTGACCGACATTTTGCCAAACTCGTTTCTTTAATCCACCAAACTCGTCAAAATCTCACAAATCAATTCAGCAGGTATTTTGTATAAATCTTCCTGCTTATGTATTACATAATTATCCCCCCACTCTGCTTTAGTTTTTGATGGCAGTCGTTGCGCAGTTTCAATATGTTTATTATTCCTTTTTTCCACAATCTCTATTACATAAATCTCTAGGTGTCCAATTCGTAATGTTATTCCAAAGTCTAGTGCGTTTTCTGTAATTAAATCCATATTTGCAATAATCAACATCTTTAAAATCAAACTCATTCATAAACTCCTGATTTTTTAATAATCCAGTTTGAGGATTTTCAATTACAAAATATTTAGGATTAAAATATTTGATAATCTCAATAGTTTTTAAAACTATACTATTAGCATATTCAATATTCCTAATTCCTGTCGTTTTTGCTACACTATATTCGGTGCACGGGGGACTGCTCCAAATAAAATCAAAGTGGTTTCTGTCAAATTGTTTATAATCCCATTCCAAAATATCACAATTAATATCAGCATTTTTCAAGTCTAATGAGATGACATTAAAACCTAATGACTTTGCTATGGTTCCTACACTTCCAGTTCCACTAAATAATTCTAATAAATTCATATTGTTTATTAGAATGATTTAGATAATGTTTTAGAAATATACATATTTATCATCTTCCTTAATAATCTTATAGTATTCTAATGTTTGTTCTTTTGGACTTTTGATTTGTCCCTTATTTAACATATCACAATATTTTTTACGCTTCGTGTCATAATCACCGCTGGGTCTGCCTATCCCTTTCTTTTCAAAGATTTTGTCAATCTTTTCCTTCTCTTCATTGTTATCTTTTGGTTCGTTTGCCTTTGCATCAAGTTTCTGGTCAATAGTTTTTATCATCTCGTACAACAGCTTAACATTTTTACTAACTGTCATTATCTTCTTTGATAGTTCAGCAATAGCATCATTCTCAACTTCAGACATTTCTATATATATTTATTTATATAATTATTTATTTAAATATTTATTTATGCGTTTTATTATACAGTTTACCTAAATAATATAATGTTACATATGTAAATAAATTATATTCTAACAGTCTTTCACCAATTTTATTGTTCATTTTTATTAAACCTTCCTTGTCATTTGTGAGTTCATAAAATTTCAATATTTTATCAAATTTATCTGGTTTGGTTATACCTTTCATAAAATATGTATCCTTGAATTTAGCAT